GCCAGCTCACCTATGACCTAGAATTCAATGTAAATAAGTGGAAACGGCAAATCACAAAATCGCCGCCATTCCCACGCTTCCTTTCAGTCAAAAAAAATACGCCCGGGCCCTCTACAAATTGGAGATAGAGCACAAATGCCGAACGGCCGGAAGAATGTCGCAGTTTTTTGGTATTTTGTTGTGCATTTTTTTGGTAAAACTACTGTATTTAGGCGACATTAAGCCGCCAGTACCAAGAAGCCTGCGGCTACCTACATTTTTGGTGCTATTGTTTGTTAGTATATTCTTTGTTGCCTCGCGATTTGAGGGGTGAGTTACTATTAAAATTTGGATTTCTCTCTGCCTCTCTCTTTCTCTCTCTCTATCTCTCTTTCTCTTTCTCGCTTTCTCTTGTTGCTCTCTCTATTTTCTCTCTCGCTCTCCTTAACGCTCTCTATTTCTCTCTGTCTCTCTCTCTCTCGCTATCACTTTCTATCTCTCTCTCTCAGCCGCACTCTCGCTCTCTCTCTCTCTCTGGCAGTCTTTTACTTACTCTTCCGTTAGTAAAAGTTTTTTTTTGGCAAGTTTAATCTATAATTTGGTTTTCAGTCACATCCCTTCCTACCGTAATGCCCTTCGGATACCTCAAAATCCCAAGACTATCATTATTATTACACCAACGTACAGAAGAAACACCCGACTCGCAGATATGACCAGGTAAAATTATCGAGTTTTCATTATAGCTGGCTTCAAAAAGGAATCCAGCCAGAATCCCGACGGCCAAGACCTCAACCGCCAAAATATCGACAACCAAAATCCCGATACATTCTTGACCCTAGTTTTAATGCCAATGCCCTTGAAACCGCTACTTTACATGTCGGTATTTTGGCTCTCGGGATTTTGGCTCTCGGTATTTTGGGTGTCGATGGTTTTTGCTGTCGGTATTTTTTATCGTCGGCATTAGGCTGTCGGCATCTTAACGTTTCCCCTCCTCCAAGATCCTTAGCTATGTATAAGATTCCATTTTCAGAATGGCCAACACCATTCGCCAGGTCCCGAACCTGCACTGGATCGTCATCGAGGACGGCGAGACTAGAGTGGCTGCCGTGGAAAAGTTGCTGAATCGAACGCAACTCCCTTACACTTATATTCTAGCAAAAACGAAGCCAGGATACCCGAGTAAGTCAATAGGGATCAAGCGGAAACCGTGTTTTAAGGGAGAGGCTGGTACCAACGTGACACCGCACTGGGGTACTTGAGGAATTACACTAGTCGGGTAAGTCGGCTTTGGTCCTGGATTTCTCACTTTTGGGCATCTCCCAATCGTACTTTATTGTTCTAGATAACTGGCAATTCCAAAGATGCCGTCGTCTATTTTGGAGATGATGACAACGCCTATGATCTTCGACTTTTTGAGGAATACATCAGAAATGTCAAGAAGATTGGAATTTGGGGAGTCGGTAGGTTTTTCGTTTTTTTACAATGCAATAATTCACACTTTATTACAGTACTTTACTGATTTCACGGCGTACTAATTTCTGCTAAAATTTAAGGTCTGGTCGGCGGTATCCTCGTCGAGTCCCCGGCCGTCCAAAAAGGCAAAGTCGTCGGCTGGAACGTCAACTGGTTCGCCAAGCGAAAATTCGCCACCGATATGGCTGGCTTTGCGATTCATTTGAATGTGATTTTGAAGTGGGTTCCTGGGACTTTCTTGAAAATTTGAATTGTGGTCTTTAGAATTTAGAAGGTTTTACAACGCAAAATAATTAGGAAGCGCGCAAGTTATGCATGCTAAATCTAAAACGTACATTAGCGTTTTAGAACTGGGGCCAGTATTTTGATTTTGTTTTTGCTTAGAATAATGCCATCGTATTCAGTTCCACGGCCGTCTTCGGGTCATCGTGCAAGCGGGGCGCGGGCGCGCCAGAGACCTGTCTGCTGGAAGACTTGGGTTTGACGAGGGATGATCTTGAGCCGTTCGGGTTGGAAACGGCACGTTTTTAAGATCATTTTTGCATCTTTGAATCTGTATTAATTTACGCCTGGTTATCGATCTTCTCGACAGCGAATCCATAAGCATTCTTTAGCACCCGGACAGGCTGTGTAGCCTATGTAAATTTGTAAATCAGGTTTATACGATTACCACATGTAAGTGCGTACTGCCGCGTTACTGCCGCGTCGTCTGTTAGTGATGCGTACACAGAAAACGAACGCATTTTGGCGTATCGCGGGGATTGCGGAAAATTAAAATTCTAATTTCCCCAAGAAAAGAAAAACTGATACTGTCATGACCCCTTTAAACCAGGATTGGCTTTTCAAGGGCGGAGCTATTATTGATTTGGCTGCTTGACTTATTATTTTTTGGCTTATAAGCTCTTAATCGCTTGCTAGATTAACCCACTCTCTTTCCAGGATAAGCACGAACTCTACGTGTGGCACACAAAAACGCTGCAGGGCAAATACGACAAGACAAAAATGGATCTCCACGGGTATATTGTCGAGTAACCCTTCTTTTCTTAGAAACATTAATGTCGATCCCCCTTTGCTCAGTTCCTACGCTAGCTATTCTTGTTTTTGCCATTTAGCGTCTAGCCGTTTGTTATATTTCGTGACATTCCATCCCTAGCGGCCCAATTGTTGCGATGCCTGAAAAGACATGAAAACCGGTTTTTCTTAACTTGTCCTACTTATGAATTTGCGGTTTTTGACCGTCGTGTGATTGTATTGCCTCTTTCAACACGTTGCCCAACTTGTGATGGCCAAAGCGATGTGTGTATACATGAATAAAACAGTTGTGGATTGCTACTAAATGGCAGTGATTTTTGTAGAATTTAGATTACAAAAAATCATATAAATTAAGCCAGAAAATGCTCTTTGTTGCGCCACGTGATGTGCCGGGGGCGAGTCATCGTACACGCGAACGAACACGAGCTATGTCCAAAAATTATCTGCTTGGACAGGATGACCTGTCCAATCACCTGACCTTTGAACTGCTCGCTACAAAAAAAAATTACTAAAAAGATTAAATTTGAATTTAAGATCTATATTATAAAATTTTATGCTATTAGATTTCTCGCTCCAGGGGCTTTTAGGAGCATTCTATCATTGTTCAATGATTCCCTACAATTTACTGTTTTATCCGAGGCCGAATGTTCGACCGCAACGCGTAAAAAACGACAAAATTACGGTGTAATTATGCTGAACAATAGAAGTCCGGACCAGTTATTATAATGCATACTTTTTTTGACATTTCCGTTGTTTTGAACAGGCTCTCGCCGTACGCTACGCTCCTCCAACCAGCGGTTGGAATTTTGGCGGTTATCTCAAAGAAAAAAGAATGAAAATGATACGGTACCCGGGCGGGGCCCTTTTCCTATACTTCCTTGTTCGTGCTCACTATGGCCTCGGCAATAAATTTTTTTTATCCGCGAAAGGCCGCATTTTCATCCCGATAATGTACCACACGCGCCATGTTGGCGAGAATAGCTTTTCGCGAGTCAAAAAAATTCGGTATCAAATTTTCGCGTAGGGTGAAAGCCGGGTTTTTTTAAAGATGCTTTGGATACTCCGGTTACTTGTTTTACTAGAATCTTATAAAGAGCGGAAGGTTACGTCCACGCGCAAGGCTTCCAAGTCAAACTCCCGGCAGCCAGAAAAGACAGCCCGACACCATCTGACGCTAATTCAAAATTCCATATCCAGATTTTGGAACGTCGATATTTTGGCTATTCATATATTTGGAATGTCGATATTTTGGTTATCGATATATTTGGAATGTCGATATTTTGAAACTTCGGAACTTTTGCTGCCCGGAGCGTAGTTGTCACGAATTTCGAATGCCAGGATTTTGGATTTGGCATTTTTCGCTTTATCTTTCCTCACGTTGCTGTAGCTGCAGCTCGCACGTGCGTTACTTGGCGCTGTCAAAAAATCAGCCTAGCGAATCCAGCGCCACAAAGTCTAGACGGACGCCTTGCTGATCCCTTTAAAAACTCGAGATCATCCAATCAGAGCCGAGCGAAGTACCATTCGACTACGGTATGATGATTGCAAGTTAGGGAAGCTAGATACCCCTTATTTCCTTACGATAACGTTAAGAAACTTGCAGCTCGATCGTAGTGAATGTAAACCCAGCGGAACCGTACAATTACCCGCACAACTCGAACTATCAAGGATTCCGATGAGATTCCGGCAATTACCGACAGGCGAAAGAAACCCCGTGTCTTCCAGCGCTTCCTTGTTTTGATTCAAATCTGGGTGCCCCCGGCAAGAACGTTGTTTGATCTCCGCCACATTAACGAGAATCTTGCCGTCCGATTTTGTTAACGACCTTCGAGGGCGGGCGGGCGGTATTGCCGCTTTTCACGGCTGAAAAAATTGATTCCGCTGGTATGACCCGATTGTGCGTGCAGTTTTGGCTTCCGGTTTTTTTAGAAAAAATCCAATATGAAAAATTTACGAAGGCTTTAGTTTTTCGATTTTGATCTAGCCAATTTAGGGGCAAAACCTGCGATTTGACGTGACACACCTTTATTTTCAGTATTCTTTCATAGTTTAGGAATTTCGGATCATCCTGCTGAAGTTCTGTGTCAGCTTCCTGCCAAAAAAATTTCCTCTGAATTTAGATTTTTGAACCAAAAACTGTCAAAAATTTTGAAAAATCAATACCTTTTAATTACTTCTACAGCCATAACCCGAAAAAAGTCTATTCTAGCCCAGAAACTGATTTTAACCAGTAATCAGCCTCTATCATAAAAAATTTCTTAAGTGCAAGTAGGCGAAAACAAGCATTCTCTAACCAAAACGATGTTCGACCTCCTTAATTCGTTTTCTCATCGCGATTGGAGCCCGACTCACCACTCCGTAGAGCAACTTGCGCACCCATAAATCCTCGGGGAATAATTGTAACGTTGCTTCGGCTGTGCGTGTCGAATCTGGCCATTTAAATTGATTATACTTGACGGGCAACCATTCCGCATAACAATTACTAACAGTTCTGAATTCTACCGTAGTTCTACGAGATGGCGACGATGGCTGGGGATATGTCACCGGTGAGTGATTTGGAAAAGCCGGCAACGGCTTATGTAAGCGTTAATGCAGATTTTTATTTAGATTAAAGGTGTTGAGAGAGCCGAAATTGAATCTGTAAAGTTATAAAACTAAGCCTAAGCTAAGCCTCAGCTAAGCCTCAGCTAAGCCTAAGCTAAGCCTAAGCTAAGCCTAAGCTAAGCCTAAGCTAAGCCTAAGCTAAGCCTAAGCTAAGCCTAAGCTAAGCCTAAGCTAAGCCTAAGCTAAGTCTAAGCTAAGTCTAAGCTAAGCCTAAGCTAAGCCTAAGCTAAGCCTAAGCTAAGCCTAAGCTAAGCCTAAGCTAAGCCTAAGCCTAAGCTAAGCCTAAGCCTAAGCTATGCCTAAGCCCGACATATACCCTCTGCAGATCCCCTACAAAGAGCGCCTCATCGCGTTCATCATCTACGTGCCCCTCGAGGCCATCATGCTGTCCACAAATCTGCTCATAGTTCTGGCCATCGCATTTGTCAGTGTTGATAAGGACGAATTTTATTTGGATTTTAAGTATATCCCGCTCTCCAAGCATTCCTACTACAAATTCCACATGCACCATGCGCTAGTGAATTTGGTACAGGTATCCAAGCAAAATCGTTAACTTTTTAGTTTGGTTTTCTAGGGGTTTATGCATCTTGTTCTTACTTTTCCGATAACCATTACCGGACGAGATGTGGGTTTAATAATTGTTTATTTGCTTTAAAATCAGAAAGCAAAAAATCGTGGTGTTTTAACCGGTATAATTTTAATTTTTAGATTTACGATGGTACCGCCCTCTGGCCACTTTATAAAATTGCGATTGCCTGTGATTATATAATTTTTAAGGTATGGCCTTGATGGTTTGTACTTTAATCACCAAATCACTAAATGTTTTACACGCGTCTTCACTCAATTTTCGATACCCTAGAGAATACTAATGCAACGTGCTCAGGTCGGCGTACTTCTCGTGCTCTTCGCCACCGTGAATACGACAACTATATTCCGGTTCCCGCATGTGAATGAGAAGGTTTTCTCGGGCCGATCTTTGCACGCGTTAGTAAATATAGATTCTTCGTAGACCGCCAAGTTCAGGCTGCTGCTTGCGATCTGGGTGCTCGGTGTCATCGAAACCTGCATTGAGACGTTTACGGATTGCCCGAAGGGGTTCAGGGCTAAGGGCAACTTGGAAAATTAAAATTTGAAGCTGCAAAATTTAGATTTGTCATTTTCGTATGATTGCACTCCTGCACAGACGAAAGAGTTCAAGTTTCATAATGTAAGTCCTAATTTTAGACGATTAAAATGGTACGAAAGAAAGAGAAAGAGAGCGAGAGAGAGGGAGAGAGAAAGAGAGAGAGAAAGCGAGAGATGCGTGAGAACGAGAGAGAAAGCGATAGCGGGAAAGAGAGAGAGAGAGAGAGAGAGAGAGAGAGAGGGGGGGAGAGAGAGAACGAGAAAGCGAGAGATGCGAGAGAGCGAGAGAGAGCGCGATAGAGAGAGAATAGAGAGTGATAGATAGAGAGAAAACGAGAGAAAACATTAAAATTAACGTTTATTCAGTACGATACCTACCAACGTCTTGGTTACCCGTTCCTTGTCTTGATCGCAAATATTCTACTTTTTGGCTATATCCGGTACCTCAGAAGCCATAAACAAAAATCGTTAGTGAAACGGCGAGCTGGGGAGATGGTGTTGTTACTACAGGTTAGTTCGTTCTAAAGAAGAAGTGCGAAAAGGTATAAAAAACTCGATAAAACGGCAGTCTTAGGGTTTCGTAGTCAGTCTATTTATGGGCGGAAACGCTGTATTGTTCAACTTCATCGCTCCGTATGTTTTCACCACGGTTAATACCTCAGTAGTATTCCCATGCGTGATGATGGTAACGACAATGGTAAGCTGTTTTTGTATTTGACAACTATATTAAACTTTTAGGGTGTTTCTATCTTCCAACCCTTCTTAAACATCTTTTTTAACAAGTCGATCGGTGGTGCGGTTGTGAGGATTATAACGGGCAGGTAATTTGCTGTAACCATTGAAATTCGCTTAAAGATTTCGTATATCTCGGTAGATCAGATCGATAAATGAATTTTGAAAAATCAAATCATTAATTTTTAATGCTTTAGGCCCCCGAAAAAGTCTTCTATTGCTGTCACAACTACGTCGGCTCGGGCGATTGTCGCCATCAAAAAATAGTAATCTAATATATACGCGAGCTAGATAAAAAGTGATGGAGAGAGACAGACAGAGAGACCAAACAGAGAGACAGACAGCGAAGTAGAGAGATAGAGAGTGATAGGGAGAGTGAAAGAGAAAGCGTGACAGAGTGTGTAGAGGGAGAGAGATAGACATGCGCGAGAGAGAGAAAGAGACAGAGAGTGAGAGAGACAGAAGACATGATAAATTAACTTTTTCGCTTCTTCTCAAATCCTTCATAGCTCTTCCTACCCCCTCTTCGAAGGATTTTTGAGTTATGTTCTATCGATGCCGGGCAAGAAGCCTAATAAGCCCTCTTGTGAAAAACCAAATTTCCGGGGGCCCCACTGCCCGGGTCCAAATTATGGCCATGTGAGTTGCCGGCGGTTTTTTGCCACCATCTCGGTGCCCCGGAAATTTTCCCAGGTAGAGGGCCGCAACCCATGCAATCGGCTTAACTAGTAACTTCAGATTTTGGTGCCTCTGGTTATAATTATCTTTTTAAAATTACTGTATCCAATTTATGGCCTGCAATGCGTTAGCGAGCATGGCAATTCATCGCCGGTGATTTCACGGTAAGTAAGAACAATTAAAAGATACAATATTTGTGAAGAACCCTGCCCAGTGCGTTCTTACAGCAGTTCAAGTTCCCGGAAACGCAATTCCCCTACCTGAATGGGACATACAAACAATCTAAGAGATTCGCAGTACATTAAACATCTTACTATTTTAATTTCAGTAATAAAACTTCATGTACTGGCGATATGTGTTGGCCTTTATACAACGAGTACTCCTCCCAGGAGTCTCGAGATTGTATTACCGGTTTCACGTTCGCAATCGGATGCCATTTATTCGCTATAAAAAATGGAGACGAGACCGACCTGTATTTTTTGTGTTTTTGCAAGTTTGTAGAAATTCCTTTGTATCGATTTCAAGTTTTAAGCAACACAAAAAATTGCAACAAGAATTTCCCGACTTTTAACGATGAGAAGATGGTGGCAAAGTTGGGCGGGGCGCAGATACCACTACGAAAATTTACCGAGACTCAACTTTCATGTTATGCGTATTTTCTGAATGATGAGGTAAGTAGGGAGCAGCTGTCACTCTCTAAGGCTTTTTCTCTCTCTCATTCTCTCTCTCTCTCTCTATTTCTCTCTCTCTTCCAGTCTCTCTCCGGTACCGTCTCTCTCGCTCGCTTTCTCTCGCGCTCTCTCTATCTCTCGCACCCTCTCTATCTCGCTCCCTCTCTCACTCTCTAACCTCTCCCTCTCTCGCTCACTCTCTTTTTCTCTCTCTCTCTTTCTATTCTCTCTCTCTCTCTCTCTCTCTCTCTCTCTCTCTCTCGTCCTATCGTCGAACAACTTTTTCAGTTATATACCTACGACACGACCTTGCCATTTCAAGAAAAACCAAACCCTAACTGGCCCCTATCTGCTACAATGTCTACACTTTTTCAAAACTCGTCTAGTTGCTTTTTTGAAGCGACGGAAACAGTAAGTAAATATCATTTATTGTGATAGTTTCCGTTTATTTTAACATAATTAAACATTTTCAAAACATCACAACGTTAAGGCAAAATAAAGTGTCTATATTTTAGCCCTGGAATTCATCGATAATCGCTGTAGATGCATGGGCAACCGATATGCAACCCTTCGGCTTTGCCTCCTCACTTTATGGACAATACATACCGTAAGCTAGTGTCGAAATTTCGCAAAAAATCCCAAATTTGCTTAAGGTTTATGAAGGTGGCCTAAATGCCATTCAGTTTACGTGGGACTACCGTATTATGCAGAAATATTGCCTTATTGTAAGAATAAGCGTAAAATTGGACTGATATTTTGTACCTTTGTATCTCTTTTTGTTTAGGACCATTGTAATTCCATATCTAATGATGACGCATTGTATGTAAATGGCGTCACTTGCTTTGTCGATGGTACAGTTTACGAATTTCAAAAGATTGAAACTTCGGGATTCAGGGGACCAAAACTTCACTGGCCAGGCCTGTTTCCTCGTTGCTTACGATACCTTAAATGAGGTATTCGATACCGTTTTCGGGTTTTGATATGCAAATTAGGATTGGCCAACGGAAGCGATAATCACCGGATGCTTTTCGCAAGATTGGACGAGTGCTACGGCGCAGTATACGGTATGCTAGTGTTGAATAGGCCTTAAAGGCAAGCTCTTTCCGGTCGGCTACTACTCCCAAATGACGGGAATCCGAATGTATCTGTGCGCTGAAGATTATTGCAATCAAAACGAAACTACGACTAAAGAATCTATATCCGCTTGCCAGCCCGAATATCCGCCTTTTCAAGGGAAAGGTGCAGAAACTTGGGAAAATGTAGAACAAGGTAAGTGGGCTCAAGTTTTAACCAATATTTGATGAATTCTAGCTTTTACCTCTGGAAATTATTCCTGGAACTGTAAACCAAAGCTGATGACGACAGCTTCTCTACAAACTACAACCGAGTCTATTTACACCACGATATCGGCGCTCGCCATACCAAAAAATATCACTGAGCTCCCGGACCATGAGCCGGAAACGGATCCGCAGCCGGAAAGCTCTGGCGTTGAAGATGTGGTGTCGACAACTGTAAACACACCCATTGCTACCACCACCAAAAGCTATGATCGGATAGCCTATTCCATGATCGTAATATTAACGACCCTGTTTTTGTATTTAAAATTTGTTACATAACGAATATCCGCTCTAAATTCAATGGCTCATAAAAAAAATTAACTTGTAAAAATCAAGGCTGCAAGCGCTAACTCCTCTAACTGCACAAACACCATGGCCACATTTGGCCAAGAATCAAAGAATCAGAAGAGAGAGGGCGAGAGAGCGAGAGAGAGAGAGACAGAGAGAGAAAGAGAGAGAGAGGGAGAGAGAGAACGAGCGAGCGAGAGTGAGAAAAAGGGGGAAATAAACATTGAGAAAGATACCCAGGTAAGAGAAACAGAACGATTTGAGATAAATTTCAAGCCAAAAACCGGAGTATGTAGAACACCCCTTGGCGACCAAAAATCATTCCATGTTGAGTGTGTTTATGGGTACAAATGCCATGCCGATAAAATAATTCTCTGTGACATTCAGGGCTTTTACGGCGTAAATTAAATTGATCAGCCTGGCTCGGTTGCGGCGAGAAATCGGGTCCTATCCTGGTCTTGAAAGGCGATGCCTTACCAGCTCCTCGGTATCATATTCTTTCTAAGCTACTTTAACTTGGCGGATCCGTTAAAATGCCACAGTCAACATACGAACGCTTATCCGCTGCCGGAACAGTGGGTTTGAATTGAATTTGACGTCGGAAAAATGTCTAGTTTCAAAACGTTTTAATCGTTAATTTTCAGGTTCGTTGAAATAATTAAGATAAAAGGGATAAAGATAAAATCAAGATAACATATACTGAGGATTATCTGCCACACTTTCCCCTTAAAAACGTGGAGATTTCAGCAAAAAAACCGAATGCGTCGGCGAGAAATGCTGGATTCTAAAAAACGCCCAAACGAAACAAGTATCCCGAGACTGTATGTGGGGCTTCCAATTCAAGATTGGCTGTGATTTACTTGAGATCACCAAGGATAATGTGACGACCCAGTATTTTCTCTGCTTCTGCAAGTGGGCAACCTTTTTCTATAAGATTTCATAATTTTAGTAATACAAACAATTGCAACAGCGAGTTGCCGACTTTTGATACCACGAAAAACGAGGCAAAGTTGGGCGGCAAGCAGATACCATTGCGGAAGATTGGAGCCGAGGAATTGAAATGCTATGATTTCCTTGACACACAGGTACGTGAAAAAAGCTTCGGCTTTTCAGCTTCAGCCGCGACACGCGACGCGGTGTTCCGGCGGGCCAAATTGGGCAATCTGGTGCGTCGCGTGTCGCGGCAGATCGAAAATCCATAGCGCCGCCGTACCGCTTTCTTTAAAAAAAGCACTTTTCCTAAAAAAACATTTCAGATCTACTCAAACGATGGCGTCATGCCATTTCTAAAACCCCTCCCATCTTGGCCAGTGGCTGGGATGAAACCAAAGACTATGCAAAAAGCATCGAGCTGTGGCTTGCGGGTGAGGGAACTGGTAAAGTAACCTTACGGAACTTTACCTACAAGTCTTTAGCTCAAAAACGAGACAAAAACAGAGGTGATGATGTGGGACCACACTTTCGAGCTCTACAACTTTGCGCCATCGCTCCACGGCGACGAGTGGCCGTAAGTAGATTTAATTTTGGTTTTTGAACGTTCATAGTCCGGAAATTAAAACACATTTGGGAATACCAGGAAAGTCTTAAACGCTGTTTTTGATAAAATTTTGTGGATCTTTGAGGATGTATGATGGGCTCGCCATTACCAAGCAGTTCAGCTGGGACTATCGACTCACACAACAATTTTGCTTGACGGTCAGCTCTGCCCAGCATTCTCTACAATTTTTTTAATACAGGACCGTTGTAACGCCCTCACGACAAGTCTGGCCTCCTATGAGAATAGTGTGGAATGCTTGGCGATAGGTAATTTATAATGCGCTCGAAAAAGGCCTGAGGAACTAGCGGCTTATTTTAGACGGAAAACGGTGCCGAGGGCAAGCGTGTTTCTTCGGATTCTACAGCAAAATAGATGTGGTAATCGTCACTTGCTTTCGGGTGGATTTTTTTTAGGAAACTCAAGATAAAATCATCATTTCTGGTTGTTTTTCGCAGGACTGGACGAACGCGGTGGCACGATATGAGGTAGATTTTGGCTCTCTCTCTCTCGCACTCTCTTTCTTTCTCTCTCTCGCTCTAGCTCTCTCTTTCGATTTGTCGATAAAATTTCAGGTCGGATTCTATTCACCAATGGATGGTATCCATATGTACGTCTGCGCCGAGGATCTCTGTAACCGCGACGAAGCCGCGGCACTGGAATCGGTTCAGACTTGCTACCCGAATTATCCACCGCTGCAAAAGCCGGGTGTGGAGACGTGGGCTGACGTAGAGAAAGGTTTGCACCCATGAAAAAACCCTTACACCTCACTAAACGGTCGAATAGCTCAAATCAAGTGCAAAACTGGTAAATAAGGCGAGGATTTAAAACGTGTTGTCCTAATTCGACCAATTTCAGCTCTTGCCACCGGCCTATATTCATTTAACTGCAACGGGCCAACCACTGACCCTACAACTACTATGAATCTACCATCGGAGCTCATGACGACGACAGAGACACCTGGGGTCGAATCTGGAACCTCTGGCCCTACAGAAACTGCTATGGAAGTAACGGCCGCCAGCCAAGCTGCGATACCAGAATCAACCACTAAAACTGCTAGCAAGCTGTGCAAAATTTTTGGCGTTTTCTTTGTAACATTTCTCATTCAATAAATGTTTCGGCGATTTCTGAAGCAGAATCTTGAGCTTTCCAATCAACTATAACAACCGCCGACACCTAGAATTGCCGAAAATTCAATCAACAGCCGAAAAATGGGTGCAAAGCGTTGTGATAACTTCAAATTTCGAATTTGAAGTATGTTGCAATGGATCCTTATCCCCATATCTGCCGACAATCAGAGAAAAGGCCGCTTTTCCGCCATTTCCGGCCCAAACTCATTTATTCGAGGCTTAAAGGTGCCGCTATACCACAAGATTCAATTTTCGACAAACCGAAGCTAATCTCAAACCAATATTCCAATAAGTTGGGGCCCGAAAATTGGACCTAAAGGTCAAAAAGGATTGCACTGGGTATAGCGAGAAACCGTGGTTCTGCGTTACGTGCAGAAGTGATGAGGCTTCAACTAGGAATTTTAATATTTCTTACGAATTTGGTTATATTCACGGGTGGTACATTAAGTTGCTATAGTCAGCACACCAATGCTGCTCCGCTGGCCGACACGTGGGTTTGATACGGATGCCCCCAATTTAAAGGGGCTGACCATGCATGGGTATCGAATTTTTTGTTTGCCGTATGTTCATTCAGATCATTCTTGTGAACCCGACACGCAACGCGCACCCCGCGTTTTAGCAACGTAACCGATTACAATTCCGCGCGGCGTTTGCGTTGCGTGTCGCTGCATAATACCGTAAAATATAGCATCAAAACCTAACCGACACGACAGGAAAGAGGCCAAAATCTTGCACATGGCAAGATACTAAATCTTATGAACTGTAAGCGTCGATACAACTGAGGTTTCAAGCCCTTGGTGTAGCTCGAATCTGTCCAGACACTGCGAGATAAGAAATCAACCCTTTCAAGCCCCTTTTACAACGCAATTTTAGCAAAAAGAGAGAATGCCAGGGGGCCGATGCGTGCTGGATCATGAAAAATTCGCTGACAAAACAAGTATCCCGCGACTGCTCGCTCGGCTACAAGTTCGAACCCGGCTGCACGTTGCGAGACGTACTAGCCGATGACAGCACAACCGGTCAATACTTCATCTGCTTTTGCAAGTAAGCAATTTTCGAGCTAGTCTGATGAATTTTTAGCCACACAAACGATTGCAACAAGGACATACCCACTTTTGACACGAGGGCAAATCTGGCTACGCTGGGAGGCAAGCAAGTACCGTTGCGGAAACTCGCCCTCGCAGAATTCCATTGCTATGATTTCAACAATCAATGGGTGGGCTTTTGATAAGGAAATTAAAGTTAAATTGTTTATACGCGATTAGGGTCGGAGAATTTTCAAACAAAATTTTTATAATGTTACTAAAATTTGTGCATTTGCTACCTTATTCATACCTCTGGCAAAAAAAATAAAATTTTAGAAACATTTTTAGAAGCTTTCTATGGTCATATTTTACTTTATTTGTGATCTTTTATCTCGCCCGCCATTTTCAGCAATATTCGGAAGGTGGGCAACCCCCTTTCCTGTTGCCAGACCCCCTATGGGACGCCAATTTCACCGCATCGAAAACTCTCGTACCACAGGCAGTCTGTGGAATGGAAATCCAGGAATATGTGGGCTTTTTATTTTGTATTATTATTTATACCAGTGGAAAAAAGCCCGCTTCGCGGCCCTTTTCCACTGGACCCCGTTCAGGAACGATGAATTCGAATACCTTCTTTTTTTAGCGCAAGTGCCTGAGTCAAAGAGCCATTCTTTGGCCTGCGGCGCCAGAGCCCGGGCCAAGGACCCATTCTTTGGCCTGCGGCGCTGGAGCGAGAGCCAGGCCTAAGCCTGGCGCTAGAATCTGTTTGCCTGCGGCGCTAGTTACTGCTTTTTCTCCCGGATTTGGCCTGCGGCGCAAGAGCTTAGATCAAGGACCCATCATTGGCCTGCGGCGCGAGAGCCTGGGCCAAGGACCTTTTCTTTGGCCTGCGGCGCTAGAGCGAAGGTCAGGTCTAAACCTCGCACACCGAGAGCCTAGAAATATGTTTTGTTGTTACACTACCAAAAAGCAAAAACTTCAATGCTCCCAGGATCCGAACTCACGACCATGGGCATGGTAGACCTGGCGCAAATCCACTACACCATGGGACAGCTGGGAACGGACGGCGGGAAAGCCTTCTTCTGTTCTGGGGACAGGGGGGAAGGAAAAGAACGACCCCATGATCCCGGAGGTCACTTTACAAAATTCGGTTTTCTAGTCTGAATCAGCTGAAATTTTGCCAACATAATAAATGCGCGTGATCCCCACCATCGAATACATAAGTGGTCCAAATTCTAGCCCGAAATTCCATCGGAGCTTCGAGTTATGGCCCGGACACCACGGCCCTTGGCTCACTTCATTAAGGACGTTTTAGAAAAATGCTCATAAAAACTTCATATCACAAAATCTGACAAAACGCAAAATTATATATCGGGAGATATCCCTTTTCAATCTAACGCCTAAAAATTAGCGTTCAATTCCATTTGGATCGCGAGATATCCTCTGTACAAACCTTTTTTTGGCCACAATGTTAAGGGTTTTACACTATTTTTCTTGTAAAATCGTTAAATGAAGGAATTTCGGAAAACAAAAAAATGCCTATAAAGAGGATGTATTTCCCCGCCTTCATGCCATAAATTAGCGTGAAATTCGGCCTGACGGCCGAGAAATCGTCATTACAGAAAACAAACATACTTTTCTCGCTTATAGGATAGGATTATTTTTTTTTCAAAGGGCCCTTAAACAAGTTCAAAGGGACCAAAAACTAGCAAGAAAACCTGCTTATCCTATTTTCAGTACGAAGATGGTAAGTATACCGTTTGGGGCTGGCCCATCGAGCCGGAACTGTTCAATTTTGTGCCCACGCTCTATGGACAGTTAGCGCCGTGAGTTCTCCTGCCGTTGGATATCGTATAAAATACAGCATGGAACTTCAAAGAATTTGAAAAGGAATGGTATAAAACATGATTTTTATGCTGTTCAGGTTATATGATGGGCTCGTATATGCAATTCAGGTCAGCTTTGGTGCTCGCCACTGGAAGCTGTTTTGTCTAAAGGCAGCGTTTTTGAGATTGTATAATTTTCTTGCGAAATTTTTTAGGAGCGCTGCAACCAGTTGACGACGAACCGGGGTTTTTATGAGAATGGAATCACATGCTTGGTTGAAGGTATTTGATGGGGACGGAATCAAACTTTTTTTAATGCTTCTTTCAGGAACAAAATCATGCGTAGGGCAAGCGTGTATATTTATTGTCTATGAAAAGCTGAACAAGGTCAATTAGATTCTCAAGCCTAAGTTGATCGTTCTAGGATGAACGGGATGTCGTGGCACAATCCGGGTGCTTTTCGCAGGATTGGACGAATTCGGATGCTCAATATAAGGTTAGGATTGGCAGTCGGGCGCTTCGCAGTCTCATTAGTGCGCCGACGTAATGCTAAGAGCGTTTTGAGACGCTACATCTGCCAAATCTCGAGAATTCCGCGAATCCAAGCCTCACATCGTTTTCTGCATACGCTATGCTAAAATTCTTTTCATTCACCCAAGATTCCATTCAGATCGGGATGTATATGCCATCGCACAACGTTAGAATGTACATCTGTGCCGAGGACAACTGTAACCAAGATGAGGACACAGCCAAGGCATCAATTCAGAACTGCGAGCCGAAATATCCCCCGGTAAAAGGCCCCGGAGTAGAGACGTGGTATGACGTTGAGAAAGGTATGCCTTTTCTTTATTCATCTCGGGAAAACCATTTCAAGTACACGACAGAGATGTTCCTTTTTCAGCGCTGTAAGGCTTAGTTTTTGGTTACAGCGCACGTTCAGGGAGGGGCCGTATACTCGACCCAACGTATACACCCTATGGACGTAGGGACCGCGCGCATTGCCTGCCCGTGCTGTGACAGGCCATTCGCCTCCTTTGCGACGTGGGGCGCCCCCCCGCCCCCCTCGCCAGATTGTAGCTGTGGCTGACTGGTATCCATCCGCGCCTCCCGAGCGGGGGGCCCAGGTTCGACCCCCGGCCGCGGCGAGAATCTTTGCTTTTTCCAAAAAAACATCCCTGAACGTGCCCTTTAAGCAAAAGTTTCACCAGTACAGCGACATTTAGCACTAAAGATATGGGTCTCTCTTGCCTTGAAATCACTATCATTCGAAAGTCCCGAATTTCACATTTATTGAACCTTTCAGCACTCACAACTGGTGAATATTCCCTGAACTGCAAAGGACCGACGGCAACGGCTTTGACGACCGGAATTGCACCGACCCAGAATTCGATCCCCGAGACGACGACCAAGAGCGTCGAAAATAACAAATTTCTTTGTGCTTTTTTGTTTATTATTTTATGGCGCTAAAGTTTTATTATGTGTTTTCGCCAAAATTTCACGTATAAGGGTGCAAAACCCCACATAAGAAGTGCGGAAAAGTGCCGACTTTTCCATTTCAGACGCCAAATTCAATTTTGTCAAGGCTCAAACGTACCGCAACGCTACAATAGCCCGACAAAAATGCAATTTTCGACAGGCGGCAAGTAATTTGAGGGTAATTTTCCGATCGGCTTGCCCACGAAAATTGGATCCGAAAGGTCAAACGGTGTCATTGGGCAGGGCGAGAAGCAGAGTTTTTGCTAGGCGCAATGAGGGCACAACTCGAAATTTTTCTATGTCTTTCAAATCTGGTCGGATTTGCTGGCAGTACGGTGCACTGTTATAGTGAGCACACAAATGCCGATCCTCTGGCCGATACGTGAGTCTGAAAAACGTTCTTCTAAAGTTTTTAGCAAATCTAAAAATCCTACCTTATACAATTTTGGCGTGTATCTTTGTGTGTGTGTGTGTGTGTGGATGTCAGGTTCGAGATCCGATTTGAAGGCCTTCCCGTGTCCAAAACGTCTTAATTCTCCATCACTGGGGGGAATCGACCCTCCTCTTTCCGATGGCGTTCTCAGAATTTCGATAAAATACAAGTTTACAAAGTTAAAGCCGGTTTTACTCATTTTTGAGGTCCCTGTGGGCTAATTTGCATAATGTGAAAAAATACAAATTTCCTCATTCTTGCAAGTTGCACGCGCGCGTGTGGTCGGACGGGGCGAGGGGGTCCGAAGGACCCGAGCTATCGCGAAGGCAAATTTCTCATGCAAAAGCCACATTCCAGCGCCCAAGGCCCGCGAAGCGGGTTTGGGCGCTGGTCTTAACTAAATCCCCAAGGAAAATTGTTTTATCTGCCGGAGACGGGTTTCCCTGGATTTTATACTTCTCCGCCCACCCTGGGTGGGCCCCCCCTAGGGGGGACAGAGGGGGGACTGAAAGGGGGGATGGTGGGGGCCCCCCCCAATGACCGTGCCCCCTACCCCCCTGAGGCATGAAGGTATGGCATCTACGAGTTCCATTCGCTATACCGAATTTTCACTATACCGAATTTTCGCTATACCGAATTTCGCTATGCCGAATTTTTGGTATACCGAATTTTCACCATGCCGATTTTCACGATACCAATTTTGATAAGCGGTATGTTCCCAATTTTTTTACTGTTTTTTTTTCCCAAATAGATGGGCCTAGAAAGTTAGAGTTAGCCTAGAAGTTTCCAAAAACGCAGGCAGATCATGGGTCCCGTAGGCGCAGCAGATTTTCTGTTGCACCGCAAAGTCCCAGCCGATCTTAGTTATTAATATTAGTAGAGAATATTAGTAGTAGATTAGCAAAAATTCGGCATAGCGAAATTCGGTATAGCGAAAATTCGGTAAAGTGAAAATTCGATATAGCGAAATTCGGCATAACGAAAATTAGGCATAGTGAAAATTCGGGGGGGGTGGGGGGGGTGGGGGGGGGAGGGGGAGGGGGAAGAATCCCCCCCGGGGGGCCCCCCCACCATCCCCCCTTTTAGTCTCCCCTCTGTCCCCCCTAGGGGGGGCCCACCCAGGGTGGGCGGAGAAGTATACTGGATTTGTTTCGAAACGTGTACACTGTTTTTCTAACGCGTAATTGATTAGGCGTTTGAAAGGGGGGGAAAGTTGTTACAGTTGATAGGAAATTTGGAACCAGCCGATGCTCCTTTTAAAACACAGTAATTAGCATTTTTTTTATCCGTTCGTCCGAACAACATTAAAATTTCAGAAAAAAGACAGAATGCTGGGGTGACGCATGCTGGATCATGAAAAATACTCTAACAAACCAGGTATCCCGCGACTGCTCGACCAACTTCCAGTTTGAACCGGGCTGTACGTTACGCGAAATACAAGCCGGTGACGGCACAGCTTCCCAATATTTTATCTGCTTTTGCAAGTGAGTCTTTTAGCCATAAATTTGAATTCCATTTAGCCATGCAACAGACTGCAATAAGGATCTCCCTACTTTCGATGCCAAGAAAGGTCTGGCCACAATGGGTGGTGCGCAAATACCGTTGCGAAAACTTGGCGCAAAGCAGTTCCGGTGCTTTCAATTTAACAATGCTGTGGTGGGTTTTTCAAAGTCCGTCAGGTGGAGATTGCTATGAATTTTGCCTAACTTCCTTTGGGGGTGTGGGCGGCCGAGATACGCCAAGCGATCGCAATTCCAGTCCGTAATTAATTGCGACAGGATAGCCGTCGCGACGCAGGCGTGCGCTCTCAACCCTCCGTTTTCAGGACTACCCCCAGGGTGGCCAGCCCCCATTTCTGAAACCACAACCCATGTGGGATGTCAATTTTACGGCTTCACCGACCCTAGTAAAACAATCGGCTTGCGGACTGGAGATCGAGGAATCTGTAAGCACGATGATTTCAAATTTTAGGATTAGAGGCCAAAAAACCAGAGTCAGAACAGCCACGCCAGTTCCGGGAAAATCAAGCTGTTTCCAGTACAAGGAGCCGGAGGAGAAAATAATCATCGGTCGGAACAGCGATCCGGAGCTGTTCAATTTGGTCCCCTCACTCTACGGTCAATTGATCCCGTAATTTTTTGTATTTTCCGATCCGTTCTCAGGTCTTTTGGAGTGATTACTCTAATTTAGGACCTACGATGGTTTGGTCTATGCCGTTCAATTTTACTGGGACGAACGGTATTGGCAAAAGTTTTGTTTAAATGTAAGAGAGGAGGGCTTTACTTGGTATGAATACCTAGGATTTCTGCAACCAGCTGACGACGAATCCCGCTTTTTACGAGAACGGTATCACTTGTCTAGTTGATGGTGGGATTTTCAAAGTGTGACTTGGCTTTGCAGCGAACCTAGCCAACTTTAGGCTAACAAAGGGCTGGTTTTAGACTTATCTTAGGCTTGTTAGGCTTGCGTTAATCGCCTTAGGCTTTGGCTTAGGTAATACTTAAGTCTGGGCTTAGCTTAGGCTTTGGCTTAGGTTAGGCTTAGGTCTAGGCTTGGCTTCGGCTTTGGCTTAGGTTTAGTTGCAAAAAAAAAACAAAATTTAATAAACGAAAACACTTAATTGATCCTTTTCAGAAACGAAGCAATGCGTTGGCCAAGCCTGCATATTTATTCTCTATGAAAAGATCGATAAGGTGCCTTTATCATTTTTCAATTTATATCAATTACTATACATAGACTGAGCAAGACATCATTGTCATATCCGGTTGCTTTTCGCAGGATTGGACGGAGTCGGTCGCGCAATATAAGGTAAGACGTTTTTTAAAGCTTTATACTTTTGTGATACGTTTTCTTTTTAGGTCGGGTATTATTCGCCGACGAAAAACATCAGGATGTACATCTGTGCCGAGGATAACTGTAATCAGGATGAAAATAGAGCCAAGGCTTCGATACAGAACTGTCAGCCATATTATCCGCCGGCCAAGGGGCCTGGCGTCGAGACGTGGTATGATGTTCAAAAAGGTATGCGTTTTCTGTCAATTGCCCCAGAAAGAAACGCACTTTAAGCAACGTTAAGGCGCTTTAAGATGAGAATTGTTGGTTTTAAAGGGGCTACGTAATGCCAAAAATTGAGTGAAGGTCCGAAAATCGGAGGCCTGGACGTCGGAGGCCTCTGTACACTCCGGGACCCGGGAAGCTCGCAAATTTGAAATTGCGTGTTGTCACCTCGAAATCACGTTCTCGGCTGTTTCTGGGCCAAAATCGATGCTTAAAACACCAAAACTATTTAAAATTGAGTGAGGATTTCAAAAATGGGCTCAGAATGCGCCAATTATAGTGTTTTCACAAAGAAACTGGGCAAAAACAACATCGCGCAAAAATCCAAAAGTGAAGGCTCTCGTCCCGCAGCGCCAGCTGGCAATTTGCCAGAAATCAAAGAGGCCTCCCGAAAGGGCTTTGATTTGGCAGTTCGGAGCCCCTTTAATTTGCTGCCGTTTCAGCACTGGCAGCCGGCGAATATTCGCTAAATTGCAAGGGTTCGTCTACCCAGAATCCCATTGAGACAACGACGAAGGGTGCCGAAGTCGGGAACCTTTTTTGCATTGTTCTATTGATTATTTTATGGCAATAAAGTTGTAAATCGTGTTGACGACAATTGAAAAGCGTGCTCTTCAAATCAAATTTTCTCCCTGACTGTAGCCATTATGAAATTTTTGCAAGCTGAGGTTTGTTTAGAAATTCAGGCTCAGTGTGCGCAGGGTCACACCCGCAGACTCAAATCCCCCGAAAGAATAACGCTTGAAACAATGTACATTGATGGGATCCCGGTTTCTTAGGGCCCAAACCAATTTCATAATTCCCCCCAATCTCCCAGCATGCCCGCACCACGTAAAGCCACTCCCCAAAACGCTGTAATTGACTTACTTGAGGGAGAAACGGGAGAATTTTATAAGATCGGCTAGTCGACTCCCTCAAACCCATTCCCGGGGCAACAGCGGATTATGATAACCCGTTTTTCTATTTGTTTTACCGCATTCCTGTTTTCGATTTTAATAAACCAACTGGAATCGCTAAAATGCATAAGCTACCACATCAATATTCCTTCACCTTTGGCAAATAAGTAAGTAATTTCTAAAAAAATGGCAATTCAAACATCATAGAACGACACGGAAAATGCGTAAAACAAAAATACATGGCATTTCCCGTCTCTAGGAACAAAACGGAGTGCGAGGGCGAAATGTGCTGGATATTACGTGACAACAGCGGCCAAAAACAAATATCCCGAGATTGCATCACCGGCTATGAATATGAGATTGGGTGCCACCGATTCGAAATCGTTGACCAGTACTCGGAGAAGCCAAAGACGATAGAATATTATATTTGCTTTTGCAAGTAGGTGTAAAAAAATTTGGCATCATTTTTAGTCATACCGATCATTGCAACGAGAATTACCCAACTTTCGACACCAAGAAAAATACCTCCAAACTTGCTGGGACTGCGGTACCCTTATGGAATTATGGTATCGACGAGTTTTCGTGCTACGATTTTTCGTTCTACGACACGGTAAGTTCTACATACTCGTTAGATTTTACCTTTTTTGGGGTTTCGACTTTAGCTAAAGGTTAGGGTGCAGTTTAACCCCCCCCCCCCCAGCCGGCCCCCAATTTTTGTATCTTGGCTCCCCTGTTCATCTACAGGTGTGTAAAGGATAGCAAAATGTTCGCCTTGCCTTGGCGAGTATTTTGGCGTACTTTACACACCTGTAGATAAACAGGGAGCCGAGATACGGTAGTTGGGGCCGGCTGGGGGCGGTAAACTGCACTTAAGTCTCACAACATTTTAGAGCTATATTCCTGAAATGTCGAATTCGAGCTGGGCGCTTAAAAAGACGGTTTCTAAGAAGCTGAAAAAATCTTCTGGCTGTACGCTGTCGGGGAATGAAGATGTACGTGTGATTTTTCGGCCAACACAAAATTTTGAACAGCGTCTTGACAATACATCATTTACTGTACAAGTCTGGTCCGAGTTGGGCATGCCGTTTCACTTTGCCGCCACGCTTGACAGTTTTGATGTATTTCCGTGAGCATCAGCGCTGTGATTTTTACAGATGAAATCATTTACAGATATTACGCGGGCGGCTTATATGCCTATCAGCGCACGCAGCAAAACAGAGCATTTGGGAAGTATTGTCTTTCTGTAGGTGTTTGAACCTCTAGCGTTGGACAAAGATGTCAGGCAAATTCTTAAAGTAAATTTTCAGGACAAATGCAACCTTTTAGCCTCAAATGCGGCGATGTATGAAAAGGCTGTGAAATGCCTGCTACCGATGGAAGGTATCTCGAAAAATGAATTAAAGTATGCAACTATCCCCTATTTTATAAACAGGCGAAGACACCACTTGCATGGGCCAAGCCTGCTACTATATCTATTACAAAACTATCATGGATGGAGAGGATTATCCAGTTTCGATGTACGGGTGTTTTTCGCAGGATTGGACGACGGCGACGGGGCAGTACAAAGTACGTCCCTGCCGCGATGCGATGATCTTACTTTCACTCACTGTAGATTGGTTACTACTCTCAAATCACTGGGATTCGGCTGTACCTTTGTGCAGAGGATATGTGCAATGTTGACGAGGAAACGGCAAAAAGATCTATAGCTAACTGTCGTCCGAATTATCCACCCTTTAGAGGGCAGGACGTGGAGGCCTGGGCGGATGTTCAGAAAGGTTGGTAGCTTTAGAGCGAGATACAGAAAGAGAGAGAGAGAGAGAGAGAGAGAGAGAGAGAGAGAGAGAGAGAGCGAGAGAGAGAGAGAGAGAGAGAGAGAGAGAGTGAGAGTGAGAGAGATAGAGCGAGAGCAAGAAAAGAGAGAGATATAGAGAGAGAGCGAGAGAGAGAGTATGATCCAGTTTCTACGAAGCATGGATTAACTTGAAGTTTCCACTGGATATTGCAATTTTTTTGCCGTCCTAATTCCATTCAACTTGGCGAAAAACAAATTCTAGCTCTTTCCGGAGGAGAATATTCATTAACTTGTCCTAAAGAAGCGACGAGTGCACCTCCAGAAACCGACATAAATGGCACAACTTCGGAAATATCTCTGGATCTACCGAATAACTCAACGAGAGGCCCGACCCTAGAAGCGACAACCAAAATTTCAAATCCACAACTTTGTTTTGTTACGCTTCTGTTTACGATATTGCTTTCATATTTTGATAAATTCTAAACCACAATGGAAGCCCTATTTCACAATCCGCTACCTGCCGTCTTCGAAGCCCAATTTAGCCCGTAAATCAACCGTGGCATTTCATTTTCCACCAGGTATTTCTTGGGCTTATTTGGCGCGAAAATTGCATTGGAAAGAAGGCTGTTTTTCGCACCAAGAGACGAGGCTCTAGGCTAATCATTGATTTGTCGGTTCTTGGTGCCAATGAGACTATATTTAATTAGCTTGCTGCTCCTGAACTTTCCACGAATTGCAGAATCTGTAAAATGTATCAGCCAACACCTGGCGTTGTCATCGACCATACTGGGGGATCGGTAAGGCTTCGGGATCTATTTGAAAGCACTTTAAAAATTGCTGATAATGACGACAAGTTGTATATGTAGAACTTAAAAAAGAGGGTACCAGTTTTGTAATCATAAATGGTATTCGAGGTAATTGAGCAGTGACCATCAAACCAAATTAAGAAACCGGACCGAGTGTGAGGGTGAAATGTGTTGGTTACGACGCGACGAGCAATTACACCAGCAAAATCGAGACTGCATATCGGGATTCGACTTTAAAATCGGCTGCTACCGCCTATCGGCCAGTTATCCGAGAACTGACGGCCGGCCGGGTTCCGAATATGCCCCACTTATGGTCTGCTTTTGCAAGTAAGGTCTCATTGGTTTATTGAGTACTTTACGCGGAACGTAGAAAGGATTGATACGTAGTGATTATGGTCTTTACATAATGCAGCATTTCTAGCAATTTGAAATTTTGCGCGGGCCATAACGCACAGCACCGGCGTGGCCCCCGTCAAAAATTCTCAGGGAAAAACATTACGCAATGAAAGAGCATTTTAACTTAACAGGTAATACCTTGCCCGTCCCTTTAAAGTGCTGTCTGGTAAGTTTCGAACGGGTAGCGAACGCGTTGCGGGGAGCTTCAATCTATATATCTTTTCACCCACACCGACAATTGTAACGAAGATATGCCAACGTTGGATCTAAAGAAGAAAACGGCAACCCTATTTCGCGTAGCCCTGCCGCTTATAAACATCGAATCGGAAGGGCTGAACTGCACGGATTTCTACATAAGTTATGCGGTGAGCGGAAATATCCTTCTTTAGCCAAAGTAACGTTTAGGATTACCCTAACAACGGCCTACCACTATTCTCAAAACCCTCGATAAATTGGCAAGAGCAAACGTTCAGGGACAGCATCGAAAAATCGTCGAGTTGCGGGGTAACCGGAAGTGAATTTGTGAGTTACAATTCTGTGGACGCTTTTCGGAAAAAAGCGAGGTTGAAAAGTTATTTTTAGTCTGTAAATTCAACCACTTCTACCGTAAACATCTTTTCAAACACCTATGAGCCCTTCAATTTGTACCCATCGCTCTACGGTTTTCACTTACCGTAAGTTTTGCTGGTTTTCTCTATGGTTTCGTTTTTCAGGCTTTATGAAGGCGGCCTCTACGCGATTCAAAAAGAACCGGATTTTCGCAATATTCTCAAATATTGCATTACGGTAGGAAAAATTGCAAAAAAATTTCTTACTAACTAGTACATTTTCTAGAACCATTGCAATTCGCTAAATTCTACGGATGCACTTTATGAGCCAGCGGTGACTTGTCGAATACCACCAACGGGTAGATGATCATTGCTGTAGCTACGAAAGTTTTCAGATGACGTTAAGAATGGCACCTGTCTTGGCCAAGCATGCTACCGTATTTCGTACGAAAAAGTCTCGGCTGTAAGTAGAATGATTAGGGTTTGGGTTGACTGTTCGGATTGACCGTTGCCTTAAAGGGATACCCAAGGTTTTGGCGGCAAATATATAGTTATGGATTCCGGGCAGTACAAATGACGCGCTAATTTTGTGCGGCAATGGCGGCCCATTGCCGCACAGAATTCGGACACCTTTCCCTCTTGTGGCCTCCCCATCCCACCCAATGGCTTGCCACTATGGCCTAATGGATAGTGTCCAGGCCTACAAAACGGGGGTCCCGGGTTCGACCCCCGCCCGCGGCATGGTTATTGCTTTTTGAGCTCCGAAAAGGTTGGGCATCCCTTTAAAGGGCACGTTCAAGGACGTTTTTGGAAAAAGCAAAAATTTTTGCCGCGGCGGGGGGTCGAACCCGGGCCCCCCGCTCGGGAGGCGCGGATGGATACCAGTCAGCCACAGCTACAACGTGGCTAGGGGGTGAGGGGCACCCCACGCCGCCAAGGAGCGGAATGGCCTGTTACAGCACGGGCAGGCGATGCGCGCGGTCCCTACGTCCATAGGGTGTATACGTTGGGACGAGTATACGGTCCCTCCCGGAACGTGCGCTTTAATATGCGATTTTCTGTATTTAGGATGTCGATTATGCAACGGCGTGGTACGGCTGCTTATCTCAGGATTGGACAATGGCAGAAGGACAATATCGAGTAGGCCTTCAGCGTATTTTCTCAAACGCGTCAATCGTTACTCCCATTTACCTTAAAATCCCTAGGTTGGCTACTACAGCCCGATGAAAGGAATTAGTCTCTATATTTGCGCCGAAGACATGTGCAATTCCTACGAGAGCTGGGCCATAAAATCCATATCCAGCTGCCGCCCGAATTATCCACCTTATAGGGGGAAGGGTGTGGAGACGTGGACTGATGTTCACAGAGGTAATAGACGCCTCCCGAATTAACCCAATTTTTTCAGCCCTGGCTTCTGGAGAATATTCACTTACCTGCAAATCTTCTACTACTACCACTACTACCACTACTAGTGCTGCTGCCACGGCTGCTACTACTACTGCTGGTACTGGTGCTGCTGCTACTGCTGCTGCTGCTAACACTAGTATTACTATCGTTACGACTGCTACTACGGCTGCTACTGCTAATATAACTGCAACTACCGAAATTACGAATACATTAACTCCAGAAGAGGCCCCCACAAATCCACCACTTCCGGAAGCCACGACAAAAGTTGGGAGCCGAAATCAATTCTTTTCCTGGGGATTTGCTTTATTCTTGATGTTATATTTCTTTCGATAAAGATTACGCTATTTTAAGAACATGCCAAACTTAGCGTTTTCTCTACCAGGACCGCGCCGGAACCTAGCAGCGTCTTCCCAGATTTTCTAAGCCGGCTTAGTCCATTACACGACCAATTTGACATTCCAATCATAAAAATTGCCGACTGGTCGTTAATCTGAAAATCACATTTTCCGTTTTCTGAAAGCTATGCGCCGCGCGTCGAATTTAATTTCCCGGAGCCCAATTACGCAAGGCGGGTCTCGAACTTACGGAGGCCAAATAACCGTTGGTATTTACCGGAAACGCTACTCCGGATTTGATTGCTTGATCGAAATTGAGCCATATTACTCATTTCTCTAACTTTTCGCAATAACGATGTCTTGGAAAGGGTTTATATTTTTTATTTCAATATTTCTAATCGACCCAACCTTCACCCTGAAATGCGTGCAGCATCGGGTCGGCGAGCATTACTTCGATCCAGTGTGCGTTTTGGGTTAAAGGTGTGAAAATTTACGGGTTTTCGTGTCGAAACCCAAGCTTCAAAACAAGCGCCGCGGTTACGTTGAGCCTAATTTCCTGGAAAAGATTTGGCGGTTTTTTGAATGTTAATTAAGTTCTTCAGAACGGGCTACGTATTCCGAATAAATTCTGGCAGGTTTTGTAGCGTAGAGATTTTAGAAAAAAGTCGACATGCACTGGAGATATCTGTTGGCTATTTTACGATCCGGTATGGGGGGATTTCGTGCGTGACTGCATGACCGGATACGACAACGCAGCGGGCTGCAAGCGTGTCGTGGCTAATGGCGTGCCCGATTCATATATCTGCTATTGCAAGTGAATTTTTATAAGTTTTATGTAATTGTGAACTTTGTAAAACTCTAAGGCGCAAGGAAAACAATATGAAAAATCACGATTGTAGGTTTCTTCTTTCAGCCACACCAATACCTGCAACAGCGAACTCCCAGAGTTCAGCGCCGACAATAAAACCGTGAAGTGGGCCGGGGCCAAACTGCCCAACAACGACTTCATCCCAAAATTGGTGGAATGCTTTGCGCCAAGATATTACCCGGTATGAAATAGGTTTTTTGTGTTTCACTACTTTTTTTTCCCTTTGGCCTTCTGAAATAAGAAACGACCAAGCCGACCGAATGACACTCATGACTCCCAAGCTGTCAGAAGCCTGGAAATCAGTTGGAAGTTCAGACATTTTAGGAGCCGATGCCCCGTTCAATAATGTCGGAGCTGGACTGGCCAAATCTAACGACAACCGCCCAGACGATCCCGGCGGACTGTTGCCAGTTGATCGGATCGATTGGCGTATGTACATTTAGTGCTTAGGAATCGAAAAAGACATCAATAGCCTAACCACTGCCTCACCGCAGCCGCATTGTTGCCGAGTCTTTGTAAAAACACTATAATTCCCAATTTCCCAACCTATTTAGGAAAGCTTCGCTTTTTCGCAGTTTGAATATCGAAAATAAGCATAAAACAGCGAAGAATGAACGAGATTTTGGGGGCTCAAAATTGCCCCTCCGAGCTTCGAGGCAACCAAATTTTGGGCGCTTCAGCATAATATAACTATAATAATCATAAAAATTTACTTCACTATAATAAAAAGGTTGTGGTGTCTGTCTATCCGCCCGTCTCAGCCGAATTCAACTCGAAGGGGGAAAGGAGCTACAGCTTGGGTCTCTTCGGATTCGGATAGAGCGTGGCCAGAAACCACCAAACCGATAAGAAATCAAGAAAACGTTTTTGTTTAAATTATTAAAATTAACTTTAAAGTGGCTTCTTGGTAAAACGAGTGGGGTAACGGACTTTTGCACGATTTTGTACATAGTGAGCCAGGTCGCGCGCGTTTCGGCGAGGGGAGGGAGCGCAGGGGGTAGTCCGAAGTCCATCCGAAGCGACTTGTTAAGTTTATAAAACTATATCTAGTTAGTAAACGCCACCACCGTCGATGTATGGATCAGCAGCCTGGAAATGAAATCGGAACGCCTGCAGTACCTCTATCTGCTAAACCCCGGGATCTACGCGCCGGATAAACCGTAAGACACCATACTCGCAAAGCTACCTCCCGGTGTTAAATTGTTTTTAGCTATTCCTAAGCAAAAAGCTACACAAATTTTAATTAAAAATCTAATTTTTGATCCCAAAATCCGATGGAACCTTTAAGATTCGCGGGGGGAAGGACCCAAAATGACCAAATTATCGACTTTTTCAAACATTCATCTTTCCGAAAGTTTTTGTACTGTAATGGTTAAAAATTACTAAAATCAATGTGAAACCTCTTTATGTTGGTTACGAGGTCAACCGGGAGCGGCAGGAAAAATTGGTCCCCCCGCGAATCCTAAAGAACCCACTTCTTTTTACCCTTTGGCCTTCTGAAATAAGAAACGACCAAGCCGACCGAATGACACTCATGACTCCCAAGCTGTCTGAAGCCTGGAAATTAGTTCGAAGTTCAGAAATTTTAGGTGCCGATGCCACGTTCAATGGTGTCGGAGCTCGACTGGCCAAATCTAACGACAACCGCCCAGACGATCCCGGGACTCGGTTGCCAGTTGACTGTACCGATTGGCGTATGTACATTTAGTGCTTACAATTTACATACATTGGTAGGAATCGAAACATAATCGGCTTGAATAATCAAAATTAAACATCAAACAGCGAAGAAGGAACGAGATTTTGGGGGTCTCAAAATTGTCCCTCCGAGCTTCATTGCAACCAAATTTTGGGCGCTTCAGAATTCCATCTTAGGTTAGAAAACTCTTACTTAAATATCTAGTTAATAAACGCGACCACCGTCGATGTGTCAATCAGCGGCCGGGAAATCAGATCGGAACGCGTGCGGTACCTCTACCTGCTAAACCCCGGCATCTGGGCGCCGGATCAAACGTAAGGCACCAAATACTCGGAAAGCTAACCTTCAGGGTTTTTTTTTAGTTTTTACCAGGGCATGCTATACGGTTATCAAATCAGTGCAGCATTTATAGATCTAGCCATGTGGTGTCAACAGGTAGACAGCGCGATATTTCGATCATAAAGGTTCAGGATGAATGCAACATTGTCAAATCGCTCGATTTCGCTTTGAGCAACGCCGTCACGTGTCGATTGCAGGCATTCGGTATTTTTTGTTATTGTCAAACGCTATTTCTGATACCTGAAGGGTCTATCGCCAGTGTTTCGTTTTAGATTTTGCCCCGAAGGAGACTTGTTCGGGACAGGCATGCTTCTATCGCTTCGACAAAATTGTACGATTTTTGCCTTTCTGATCGACCTTCGTGAAACGAAAGTCTTACGAACCTCCATAAAATGAAAGGCCTCGTTTCATGGACCCGATTTTTAGACGGGTGTGCTGGAAATGGGGTGCTTTTGGCAGGATTGGACGCAGGCGGAAGGGCAGCTACAAGTAGGGTTACGATTTTTTGGGGAAAAATGGAGGTGAGACTCCCGATAAACCCCCCAGCCGGCCCCTAACTTTTGTATCTCGGTTCCCTGTGCATCTACAGGTGTGTAAAGTATACCAAAGGTTCGTCTTGCTCTGGTGAGCATCTTGGAATACTTTACATACCTGTAGATGAACAGAGAGCCGAGATACGGTAGGTGGGGATCGGCTGGTGGGAGTATCTGGAGTTCAGCCAAAATGGATCAATCACCCCAAAGGGCTCTCGTAAATTCCTTATTTAGGTTGGCTTCTACTCGCTTTTCGCCTCTGCCGGTTTCTACATCTGCGCAGAAGACCTTTGCAATGTTGATATAGCCACTGTAAACGCTTCGATACAAAACTGCAAACCAAAGTATCCGCCCTATAAGGGGCAAGGCGTGGAGACGTGGGCGGAGGTTGAGACTGGTATTACTTTCTCATAATTCAAGGTCGAACCCACGATTTTTTTTAGCTTTATCCAGCGGAGAATACTCCTTCATCTGTAAAACACCGCCGGCAACTACAACGATACCAACCACAATCGCCCAGAAAGCGGAAGAATCGCCAACAAACTCTCCGCTATTAGAAACGACGACAAAATCTGGGCATCAGAAAGTTTTTGGGTTGTCATATTTGGTGCTCGTGATGTTATGTTGGCGATAAACCATGAAAAGAGCGATTTGCTATCAGTTTGTCGAAATAAAATCGACATTTTGTCGAGATTTCATTTTTACGACATTCTGTTTGGTCGAAATTTCATTTTGTTAAAATTTCGTTTTGGCGAAATTTCATTTTGTGAAATTTTAAGATGAATAATCGAGACGAGTATTTCCACAAGACGATTTTCGACAAAATGAAAAACGGCGTTGTGGATGCATCGTAGTATCGAAAACACCTGAAAACAAACGAAAGCTGAAAAATGCCAATTCCATCACAGCGGCTTGTACACTCCCGAAAGCTGTAAAACCCATAAAAATCTCGATAGGTTTTGTCTGGGGGGCTATGCGGCGCGGTTCATATAATTGCGCGGCCCCAGGACCACCGAAACAACAAGCTTACACGAATTAACATAACGCATTTAAACGGGCTAGCCACTCCGTGAACGGTAAATCAAGTCTTATACCTTTCTCCCATGATCCGTCTTGCGCTTATCAGAAAACTAACAATACTCTTTGGTTTTCTCCACCCGTTGAGCTCTATAAAATGCGTGGCTCATCATAAAGCACCCTCGTTCTGGGACCCAAGGTTTTTGTTGTTTTCAGTCTTGATTTTAAGCCACCGTTTAGCTCCAAATCAACTTGCACCGGCGATCTCTGCTGGCTTTTTTACGACCCGGTGTTGAAAGAGTTTGCTCGTGATTGTATGATCGGGATAGCGCACAACCCGGGGTGTCGTAGAATAGTTGCTAACGGACAGCCAGAAACTTACATATGTTATTGCAAGTGAGGTTACGTTTTTTATGATTAAGACTCGCTCAGTCACACATCTAACTGCAACAAGGACTATCCGCAGTTCAACGATACCTCAAAAACCATAGTATGGGCTGGCAAATCGTTGCCCAATATGGACCTGCCAATGCAAAACTACACATGTCAACATGGGGCTCCACCGGCGGTAAAAACTAGATTTTGAGGGTCTGGGTTCGGCGAGAGATACATTAAGTTAGCCGAAAAACATAAATTCAATCGTTTGTGCGACAAAACTACAAATTAAAGAGGCAAAGAACTGCCAAATACAGTTACGGCCCGAAAAGCGCAGCGTAGCGTACGTCGCAGGCCTCTTTACGACCGGAGCCCGGGAACCTTGTCAATTTGAAATTCCCAATGTTCACCTCCAGAACCACATTCTCGGCGATTTCTGGACCAAATTCTATGCTTAAAACAACAAAATTACTAGAAATTTTGCGAGGATTACAGAAATGAGCTCAGAATTTGCGAATTAGAGTGTTTCCACAAAGCAATCGGGCAAAAACAATTATCAGAAATCCAGAAACCCAGAAATAAAAGGCACCTCCGAAATGGGCTTGGATTATTGACTTCACTGCCCCCTTTCAGGTGCCCCTCGCAATCACCTCCATATCAAAAACAGATTGGCTGAATTTGTCGACGCTGGAGGCCACGAGCATGGGGATGGCTTGCTCGGTTGAGGGCACCATTACGGTAAACAGTTTTTTTCCAGTTATGGATCTTTATCAACGCAATTTTGATACGAGACAATCCTTCAAAACCTACAAGATCTTAGCTGTTAAACGATACCACAGTGGTCGTTGCGCCAGGTGGAAACCCGCAAGAAATCAACGACCGTTTATCATATCTTTTTCGCCTGGACCCAATGCTTTACTACCCGGATTTTCCGTAAGTCATCCCTACGGTATTTTTACATATTGTTTAGCTTCTATATGGGGGCACTTTCGGGGCAGGAGTATGCTAAAGACAGAGATTATTCTCAGAAAATATTGCACGACGGTAGGCTCTAAACCTCTTCTTAATGTGCCTTCCAGGATTACTGTAACAACTTCAACTCGATCGATGCACTGTTTCACAACGTGGTAACCTGCCAAACACAAATGTTTGGTGAGGGTTTTTTTGCGGCTTTTCAATACACGTTATGATCATAGATGGAAGTCCTTTGGATAATTGTACCGCGCAGGCGTGTTATAATCGTTATGACACCGCGGTAAGTTAAATTTAGCTACAGAGAAAAATATTTCCTTCTCAGGATGGGACGCACGAAACCGGATGCTATTGGCAGGATTGGACGACAGGCGAGGGTCAATTGAAGGTACCTTATCCAACCTTATTCCTATGCCATTTTCCAGATCGGATTCTACTCCCTGTCTTCGACAGCCGGTTTTTACCTATGTGCGGAAGATTTCTGCAATGTCAACAAGACCGCAGCAGCGGCTTCTGTGCAAAGTTGTCGTCCAAACTACCCGCCATTCAAGGGGCAGGGCGCGGAGACCTGGGCGGATGTGGAAAAAGGTGTAGAATTGTTTACAGCCTCAAGGTAACTTGTTTTTTTAGCCCTAGCAACCGGAAAATACTCGATGACGTGCAATGGGTTCTCACACACATCCCCTGCAACAGCAACAGCAACAGTGGGAGTCACGACAACACTCGCCCCAGAGGCTACATCAAAGATTTGTAATCGTCTTTCATGCATTGTCTTGTACTTGCTTTTTGTTTTTTTGCGGAATAAATCATTGAACGGGTTGTGTCGTTTCGTTTAATAATTTTCGATTGATGAATGACGTCACCGAAACTACCACGCGCGAGTTGTTCTGCCAAATAGGGAACCGACACAAATTTCAAGTGTTTTCGGCTCTCCTGTAGCCATATGATTTTGAGAATTCCCAGCAAGCACACCAACCTTACGATGGTTAAATGACTTTGCTGGTTGCCAGGCTGCGATTGGCCCGAAATCCGCCGACACGATGGTCTTGATCTTTATCCTCGCCCTTGTTGACCAAGTGAAAACATTGAAATGCGTGGTCGACCAAAAAGCGCCGGACTTTTTGGATGAGAGGTAATTGTCGTCTTAGCCGTCCGAGAGGAACCTAGCCCAAAATCGACGTGCCTGGGCGACACATGCTGGCTATTCTACGACCCGGCGCTACAACAATATGCGCGAGATTGCTTGACGGGAATAACGCGTGAGCCGGGATGTCGACGAGCGATCGTGAATCAGAAGGCCGACTCGTACCTATGCTATTGCAAGTAGGGATATTACAGCATCGGTCAAACTGATGTCTGGTCGGAGAATTTTGTTGTACGAACCCGATACATCCAAATTTTATGAAAATTTGCCTCTGGGTCAATTATGTTACTGGCAATCCGATGGCAATAGCAAAATCCTTGAAAAATTAAATTTGGAAGTTCAAGTTTTCATTTTATAAATTTCCGAAAATAAACTCCGAAAGCATAAGAGTTGTAGAAGGGAATGCGCTCTTTCGAATGCGACTAAGTAGGAAAAAAACGGGGATTTAAAAACTAATTGCACAACGGCTTTGAAGTTTCGGGTTTTGGTTCAAAACCCGGTTTATTGGAGCGTCGTGCAGCACCATTTTCGGTCCCAATTCGCCATTTTTCGTTGCGGCCAAAACCATTGCTTGCGTTGCCGTGCAAGGACTTCCGCATGCGCTACCCTTGGAAAAATTCCAAATCCAGATCGCTTTTTAGTCACTCGGCCAAGTGCAACGCCGAATTTCCTGTATTTCACGAGAATAATCAAACCGTTACATGGGCGGAGAAGAGCTTGCCGAATACAGACGTCATCCCGCAAATGCTAACCTGTGGAAATGAAGCCTTTCCTGAGGTAACGAAAACTTTTGTTTCCACCTCAGCCAAGATTTAGCTGACAATCCCCATCAACGCGGCGCCAACAGTGGATTGGCTCAATGTCACGACGGCGACCATCACGAAGGAAGCGCCTGGATGCTATATTAATGGCGACATAAAAATGGTCACGCCGGGCTTGATCAATTAATTTACGGTTCCAGCCCCGAGATGAGAATTTTACTGTAACTTTTCGTACCGACTACATAGCCAAATCGCGGCAAGCATACCTGTTCGCGCTCGATCCGACGATCTGGATCGCTGATATGCCAATGTTTGTTCGAATCTTTAAGTTCTAACATTTTTTAGATTATTTCCCGGCTCGCTCTACGCGACCCAATTTTTATCCTACATTCAGGACGTACAGAAATTTTGCCGAGAGGTATCTAAATCATTGCGAGTCCACAAAAAAAATTAGGAACGTTGTAATAGTGTAAATTCCATCGATGCCCTACTGGTCGACGAGATAACCTGCCAGATGAAAGTTTTCGGTATTTCGCATGTATATTTTTTTCGAAACGTATAATTAGGTAACGTACCGCCTGATACCTGTAAAGGCCAAGCATGCATCGTGCGATATGATCACCCGGTAAGGAATAGGCCCTTGTTTGATCAGCCATGAATTGTTTAGAGCAGTACGCATGAGAGCGGATGCTTTTGGCAAGACTGGACGACAGGGGAAGCTAGGATTGAGGTAGATCGTGCTAAACCTTCACCTATTTTCGGGACTGTTAGCGGGGGCGGGAGGGGGTGTTACTAAACAATATCAAAAAATTTTAAATGCAAAATTTGCAGTTTTTTTAGCCATTTTTTGATACATTTCCGAAAAAAGATATTTTCGAAAATTGTATGGCTTTTTATATTGTTTTAATCGCGCAAATCTATGTAAAATGCTATAAAGATATATATTTCGTTATGGGGCCGTGGAGAAAAGTGGAGAAAACTAGGTAAAAGTGGTCCCCCGCCAAACCCCCGCGGACAGTCCGGTACCCTGTTTTCTAGATCGGCTTCTATTCGACAATGTCAAATTCGGGTTTCTACATTTGTGCCGAGGATATGTGCAATATTAATGAAAGCACGGCGATGAAGTCAATACTAAACTGTCGCCCGAACTACACACCGTTTAGGGGGAAGGACGCGGAAACCTGGGCTGACGTCGAAGCGGGTTTGGCTCTTGAAAATCTGATCTTTGATGCTACTTTACAGCTTTGTCAACTGGGGACTATTCCCTCAACTGCAGGCCTTCCGAGGCTTTTACCACATCAGCACCGACTGGAGCGACGACTACAAAGATAACATCGAAGCTGTCGTTTTCATGGCTTTGCGTCTACGCTTTCTTGAGTTACTGCTTTGGATAAATTGTTTGGCCTATAATTCTAAATTCAGCCAATCTATGGCCATCTGAACGTAATTGCTTGGTAATGCCAGGGAAAGCGCCGACTTTCATTGGTCGGGGTAAAGCGTTTATCGGGGGCGGGGACACGGAAAGAAAATCAACCCCCAATTCCACTCACTAAAAATGTTAGTGTGCACTGGCATACGGTGCTTCGTCTTATTTTTGTTATCATATAGCTATGGTCTGAACGCGCTGAACTGTACCGTACAATACAACGCAACAGCATACTTTAATAATAGGTAGATACCCAGCATACAGCATTAGAAGCCTTAGACCAAACTCAACTTGCATCGGCGATCTATGCTGGCGGTTCTACGATCCCATCCAAGACGCATGGGCTGGTGATTGTATGGTTGGGATCGACCGTAGTCCAGGATGCCGTCGAATTATGAACAATGGGAAACCGGATACATATCTCTGCTATTGCAAGTACATACTGGGTTTGGCTTCCGACCCCCCCCCCAACCGGAAGGTGGCAAAAGGGCAAATTAAAATTAGCATATTCGACGCTATCGAATGGTGCAAAAACGGAAAAAAAGAAAGTACGAAAACTTTAAGTCCCGTCGGCTGTGGGGGAAAAAGTCTTCCCAGTCTTATTATACCTTCCCTTCCAGCCACACCGACAATTGCAATAAGGATTTTCCCGTATTTGATGGCGCAGCAAAAACAGTTTTATGGGCCGGCGCATCGCTGCCGAACGCGGATTTGTTATTACTGAATTACACCTGTAACTATATGGGCGCGTCCAAACCGGTTGGTTATACTTTAACAAAATTTAGCTTCGTACAAGCTGATTTTGTCTTTGAAATTTTCAGGTTACTCTGCCATTATCAGCAATTTCAAGTGCGAACTGGCAAAACTTTTCCACCCTTACCGACTCCTGGAAGGGAACCGGTAGATTTCGATAACGCCCTATTGAACTATCCCGGGTTCTAAAGGGTGTCTCAAAAAAAGAAAACTCCCGCTACTTAGCGGAGCGCAGTCGAGCCCGATTTTTATGATTTAGCTACCAGCGGGGGTGGAGCCGCTTCGCGACTCTCCCCGCTCCTGGACCCCCCCGGTGTTGGGAATGCCGTGGTATTACGATCAAATAAATTTTAGTGGAGACCATGCCTGGCCCAACGTGTTTGCTTACTGCCTGGATCGAAGATGGGGGCGGGGTATCATTTTTCTTGAGGCATCATTTTCTATATCTAGCGCGCAAACTCAGAAACCATGATTACCATCGGTTTCCGATCCGGAGTGATCCCTGGCCAGCGTATGACATACGTCTACCGGCTGGACCCGATGTTTTACCTAAAGAACTACGTGCCGTGAGTGGGATTGAGGGTTTCTGACGCTGCTTCATTGAGTTTCTACACCGGGGCGCTCTGGGCGACGAGGAGCGACATTGGTACCTATCTGCCCATAAAATACTGCGCCGCGGTAGAGAATTATTTTAGTATTACAACCCTTTATAAACAAAACATCGTAGCGCAATGTGATTACCCACCGTATGCTGCGAGGCCATTCCCATGAGTACTCGCGATAGACATTTTTAGGATCACTGCAATACGGTTCGGTCGATGGGCGCAACCGTCCGCAACGACGTGACCTGCGAGATGCAGCACGAGCGTAACTGTTTACCCAGACGTCCAAAATAGGCTTTAGAGAATATCACGCTGTCTATTTGTACCGGTCAGGCCTGCTACCTTCGCTATGACCCCTTGGTATGGTGCTTAAAGGGATAGTTCAGCATTGGGGCTTGGGCAAGACCTGGGGTGGCTGCTACCCTGTGTCGCCCCTGCGTCGATAGTCACCCACGGTACTGCCCAAGCTCCAACGCTGAACTATCCCTTTGAGTAGACTTAAAGCGCACGTGCAGGGAGGGGCCGTGTACTCGTCCCAACGTGTACACCCTATGGACGTAGGGACCGCGCGCACTGCCTGCCCGTGCTGTGACAGGCCATTCCCCTCCTTTCCGGGGTGGGGCGCCCCTCGCCCCCTTGCCAGGTTGTAGCTGTGGCTGACTGGTATCCATCCGCGCCTCCCGAGCGGGGGGCCCGGGTTCGACCCCCGGCCGCGGCAAAAGCCTTTGCTTTTTTCCAAAAAAAGGTCCCTGAACGTGCCCTTTAAGAGAGCTGTTGCGCTTTAGAGGCGCATCTATGAGAAAGGCTGCTATTGGCAGGACTGGACAACCGGTGAAGGGCAAGTAGCGGTGGGTGGAAATGCATGATTTGATCGAAAGTCAATAAAATATAAAAATAACAACTCTCCAAAACTTTTCGTCTATTTATAGATTGGGTTCTACTCCCTATTGTCAGCGGCTGGTTTTTACCTATGCGCCGAAGATTACTGTAACGCCAACGAAACCACGGCGGCAGCTTCTATAGAAAATTGCCGCCCAAATTATCCGCCCTTCAGGGGGCAAGATGCGGAAACTTGGGCTGATGTGGAACGAGGTAAAGAATAGCTTGACGGCCTCAACAAGCGTTTAAGCTTTAACTACTGGAGAATACTCCCTCACTTGCAAGGAGCCGCTAAAAACTTCATTAGCGCCCCTCAAAAGCTCAGGTGCAACTACCTCAAAAAATACGGCCGTGACAACGACGTCTGCGCCAGGGATGCCAGAAACAACAACAAAGATGGACAAGAATATTTCATATTATTTTGCGCAGTGCTTATTAGTTGTTTATTATTCCTTGTGAAATCAGCTACGACTTGTGATTTTGCGATATTGGCTTTTTGCTTACGATAAAGAGGCCAGACATTCCGCGCCGACACCGAAAGCAATTAGGAAGTCCATAACTTTTAGTCGTATCCCGCAGAGCTCTCGGAAATTATAGGATGAAAACAACCATGACCGGGTTACGACCATGCTTGCTTTAAACGTAAAATTTGGAAAGATCGGGCTGTGCTCAAGCCCTCTTTCCGTCCTCTCCAGTCCTGGCTCGCGGCCCGTAATCCATTTATCGAGCCCTCCTGCCCTGATCACCACGGTTTATACGGCCCTCTAGATTTCTTCAGATTTCTTTTAAAATATGCTGCCAGTATTGTTTTTTCTTTTGCTAATTCCCGAGCTAGAAACCGTGAAGTGTATTCTGTACCATCAAGCAGAGGATTATTTCGACACAATGTAAGTAGTTCGGCTGGCGAGAGCCATTTCAAAAACAGAGTGACCCCTCCTTCGTTTTCAGATCTACCAAAAAATCCAAGTGCACCGGTGAGCTTTGTTGGCTACTATACGATCCGGTCTTGAATGAGCACTCTCGCGACTGTATGTCCGGGATTAACCGGGAACCCGGATGCCGTCGGCTATTCCAGGACAACAAGCCAGATACGTATTACTGTTACTGCAAGTACGTCTGTCAAAATATATAAAAAATGTCAAAATTATTATTATGAAAGGCCATTTCAGCCACACTGACAATTGCAACGCCGAGTTCCCAGTTTTCAATAACAAGAACGGTACCGTGGGCTGGGCTGGTGCTATCCTACCATTTATCGACATTTCACCTCCAAATATAACTTGTGGAAGTGAGCATGAGGTCAAGGTGGGAAGTTTTGCATGTCTAGACGTTCGCATTAGGGCATGGCATTTTCAAATAATTGTGAAATTTTCGAAAACCATCAATAATTTAAGCCAACTACAGCGCATCCCAATAAAAAACACCCCCGCCCCTAATTCGACGCAGAATTATCGGAAAGGAATGATAGCCCGGAATACCGTTCGAAAGCCCTTGAAACGGCGAGTTTGCAACCAATTTCAAAACCATTTTAAAATCGCTGGGTTGCATAAAACATGGTCTTGAAAATTGTCGCAAATTCACCGTTTCAAGGGCTTTCGAACCGTGTAACTATGATCAATAGTGGAAATTTCTTCGACGTGCTAGAGCGGGTGTTTTTAAATGGGACGCCTTGTACAACAGCCTCTAGGGTCTAAGAAACCTACGTTCTCCAGGAAAACCTAACCGGCAGCGACTTGAAGACGACAGGCTGGAACGCTTCCGCCAATCTAGCTCCCCGTAATGGTTTAGGTTGTGTAGCTGATGGTTCGTTATATGTGAGTAATTTACCGCAATATCCAACCTACCGCAATCTTTCCAGGCCGTTGATGGTGATCTCTACGATCTGAGGCTTTTGAGACTTTACGTCAAAAACGACGGCCACTATAAATACGCCTTCTTTTTTTGGAGCCGGTCTTTACCGACACCAGCTTCCCGTAGGTCTTTTCAACAAAAACGGAGAGTTCCACCACACAGCTTCGCCCTCGGTTCGCTTTATGGTGTGCAAAGTACTGTGACTCCAATAAGATTAATAAAGTCGTGTATCGAGGTAATTTTAAGGATTAAATAATCGTGTTCTCATTTTGATTGCAGGAATTTTGCAATGTGGCCTTTTCCGTCGCTGCGATGCTGGGCGATGGAGTGACGTGTGTGATGGTAGATTCCTGTAAGCTTCCTATTTCAAGCGCTGCTTACCTTAAACGCACTGACTGTTTTATGGTGGTATTCGCATCTTTTAGACACGGTTTATTTTCAAAATGTCGTAAATCATAATGTCGAATTCATGATGTCGTAATTTCATAATATCGGAATTTCATAATGTCGAAATGTCATAATGTCTAATTTCATAATGTCGAAATTCAGTATGTCGAAAATTACATAATCTAGTATTCCCGGTCTTACATAGATATTATGACATTTCGACATTATAAATTTCGGCATTATGATTCTCGAAATTATGATAGCAAATCTTTAGACACTACAGAGCCGAAAAACTGCACTGGGTCCGCCTGCTATCTCAATTGGAATAAGCTGGTGTGTCATAGCTTCTTCGCTATCTTGCGATCCGAATCCGTTACTTTCTACCTCATAATCCTAGACCGGATTTAACGAATCGGGTTGTTGGTGGGAAGACTGGACGGCCGGTGACAGTAGATTCGAGGTATATGCAACGATAGCTACGCCGTTATCTACCCTTTTAGGTCGGCTTCTACTCTCGAATGACCGCCAACGGTCTATACATTTGCGCCGAAGATTTTTGCAATCTCAACGAAACCACAGCCCTGGCCTCCATACAAAATTGCCGCCCGAATTACCCGCCATTTAAGGGCCAAGGCCAGGAGACGTGGGCTGATGTGCAACGAGGTGGAATGCGCGTATGAGACTTCCAAACCCTAACTTTAGCTCCAAATTCCGGAGAATATCCTCTAAACTGTAAACCCAAGCCGATAGCGGCAACTACGATCAGCGATGCTAATTCTGATTCTTCGCCGGCCTTATTAATTACCTCGCCTGCACCAGAAGCAACAACCAAAGGTGCTCCCAAACCGGTGCTCTATTTTTCGTCAATTTTCCTTTATTTTTATCTAATAAATTTATGAACACTCGAAACGGGGCTAAAAGCCCTGGTTGCCAGACGGAAGCATTCGCAAGAGAACTAAATTTTAGTTCACTTTCCGTTTCGACACAAAAATGCCATAACACGTCGCGATCGTTTAGGCCAATAAAAATTTTTTTCGTCTACCCCATGCCCAGCTCAATTACGATAGGGCCAGTCGGGGTAAATTATTCGGAAACACAGATTCCGGCGGGGTGGTCATTATATGTGTGGACCATAAAAACTCAGCAAGGTCCTGCTGAACCACTAGCAATCGCCCATCTGAATAAAATTCAAGCCCACCATGGCGCAGAAATCAAAAAGAGAGGGGTCTCGTCACGCAGCCGGGGATTGCCAAAATTAATTTGGCACTGCGGTGCCCCTTTAAGGTAGAAGAGTTGTTGCAAAATCAAAATCGTCCTCCTTTCCTTAGCTTAGTTGGTGCTTTATTAATTTTAATCGAGGTTTTAGACAAACTTATACAAGCTTACTGTAGACTCGATATCCCCTCCCCACTTTTTGAGGTCCGAAAGAAAGATCAACTATTGGAATTCCTTCAATTGTTGCGTGGTTTGCTGTCCCAACATGGATAAATAAAGCCCACGACTCCAAATATGATTTGCGAACTGGGGCTCAAAAATATTAGTAGCGCTGCATGACTTGCACAGAACCTTGACAAGCTCGCCAAAACAACGGCAATCAAACTACCACAAGAAAATCACTTTTGTGTGGGGTTTGCTTATACTTCCGAAAATCCGATTCCCGAAAATTGGTTTCCCGAAACTCGGAGCCCCGAAAATCGGAGTCCCGAAAAGTCTGAGTCCCGAAGAACTGACTCCCGAAAATCTGAGTCCCGAAAATCTGAGTCCCGAAAAATCTGACTCCCGAAAATCTGAATCCCGAAAATTTGGCTACTGGTTTTTGGGCTTCCGGCCCCATAAAAAAACCCCAAATCACTGCGGGTATTTTCGGGACTTAGATTTTCGGGAGTCGGAGTTTTCGGGACTCCGATTTTCGGGAGTCAGATTTTTCGGGACTCAGATTTTCGGGACTCAGATTTTTCGGGACTCCGATTTTCGGGACTCCGAGTTTCGGGAAACCAATTTTCGGGGATCCCATTTTCGGGAGTGTCATCGGAATTCCTTTTGTGTGCCTGTCGCGAAATAGTTTTCTGCGGTTTTTTACCCCTAACCATCTACTATAATAATTTTCTTGAGGTGTCTGTGTGTGTGTGTGTCCGGTCCCAGATTCAACTCGAAGGGGAAAGGAGCTAGAGCTTAGCTCTCTTCGGATTCGGATAGAGCGTGGTCAGAAACCCCCAAACTGATAAAAAAATTATGAAAAAGTTTTAATTTAAATTATTAAAATTAACTTTGAAAGTTTTTTCCTTAGTAAAAGGGGTGGGGACGGAGGTTGGGGTGATTTTGGACATAGTGAGCCAGGTCGCGCGCGTTTCGTGGATGAAAATTTTCACGTGGGATTTCATTTCTTTTTTTTCTCTCATTCCATTTATTTTCGTTATTTTCGTTTTTAAAAGGATTTCGGCTAGGGGAGGTATCTTAAACCATCGGGAAAGTATTTAGGTAGTTTTTGAAGGGGATTTCAGCCATGGGGGTATCTGAAGCCATCAGGAAGGTATTTAGGTAGTTTTTGAAGGGGATTTCGGCCATGGGGGTATCTGAAGCCATCAGGAAGGTATTTAGGTAGTTTTTGAAGGGGATTTCAGCCATGGGGGTATCTGAAGCCATCAGGAAGGTATTTAGGTAGTTTTTGAAGGGGATTTCAGCCATGGGGGTATCTGAAGCCATCAGGAAGGTATCGAAGTAGTTTTTGAAGGGGATTTCAGCCATGGGGGTATCTGAAGCCATCAGGAAGGTATTTAGGTAGTTTTTGAAGGAGTTTCGGCCATGGGGGTATCTGAAGCCATCAGGAAGGTATTTAGGTAGTTTTTGAAGGGGATTTCAGCCATGAGGGTATCTAAAGCCATCAGGAAGGTATCGAAGTAGTTTTTGAAGGGGATTTCAGCCATGGGGGTATCTGAGCCATCAGGAAGGTATTTAGGTAGTTTTTGAAGGATTTCGGCCATTGGGGGTATCTGGAAGCCATCAGGAAGGTATTTAGGTAGTTTTTGAAGGGGATTTCGGCCATGGGGGTATCTGAAGCCATCAGGAAGGTATTTAGGTAGTTTTTGAAGGGGATTTCAGCCATGAGGGTATCTAAAGCCATCAGGAAGGTATCGAAGTAGTTTTTGAAGGGGATTTCAGCCATGGGGGTATCTGAAGCCATCAGGAAGGTATTTAGGTAGTTTTTGAAGGGGATTTCGGCCATGGGGGTATCTGAAGCCATCAGGAAGGTATTTAGGTAATTTTTGAAGGGGATTTCGGCCATGGGGGTATCTGAAGCCATCAGGAAGGTATTTAGGTAGTTTTTGAAGGGGATTTCAGCCATGGGGGGTATCTGAAGCCATCAGGAAGGTATTTAGGTAGTTTTTGAAGGGGATTTCAGCCATGGGGGGTATCTGAAGCCATCAGGAATGTATTTAGGTAGTTTTTGAAGGGGATTTCAGCCATGCGGGGTATTGATGGAGGTGGGAAAAGATGTGGTGGAATGGGACATGTAGGGTAGCCCGAAGGCCAGATGGTTGCAGTCGCGAAGCGACTGTAACCATCTGGTTTCGATATAATTGCCTGGCCGGACCAGGGAACCCACGGACCTGCCACTAGCCAGCGTAAAGCATTTATCGGGGGATCTGGGAAGTAGGGCAGAAATTGGGCCTAAATTTCACCTATACTTGAAAGCGGCGAAAAGTAAGGATGCTGGGATCGATTGACATAATTTCCTTATTATTACTATGGATTTATCAACTAGACGCCTTGACGTGAACGGTGCAATACAACGCATGGGAATATTTTGATGACAGGTAGACATGAAATTATCTGCTAAATATCACAAGCCGATGCTGTTAGAAAGTGACGATTTTGCAGACCAAGCTCAACATGTACTGGCGATCTCTGCTAGTTTCTCTACGATCCCATCCAAAACGCCTGGGCAGGGGATTGCATGGTTGGGATCTCTCGCGAGCCGGGATGCCGCAGAAACATCATCAATCAGAAACCGGATACATACCTTTGTTATTGCAAGCAATTATTGAGATGGATTTGTCAACATACATTTCCTTCCAGCCATACCGCCCATTGTGATGCGAACTTTCCCGTTTTTGACGACACGTCGAAAACCGTTTCCTGAGCTGGCGCATTGCTTCCAAACGTGGATTTGGAGTTGCCGGATTTGTCCTGTGTATGTATGTGATCCAAACCGGTAGGTGACAGCTTTAATACCGCAAATAAAAAAAAAAACAAAGCCAATTTTTGAGCCGATCTTAGCCACGCAAATCTTTGGTAGTACGTCTTTTAGGTGACCCTACCATTGACAGCGATACCTAGTGCGAACTGGCTAAATTTTTCCACGCGTTCCGCCTCCTATTCGGGGACCGGTTCTAGTTTCTAGTTGAACAGATGTGATTCCTGGCAAACAGCCAGATGCGGCCGCAACTCCACCCCGCGCCGCATGATCCCTCGCCCCTGTTTGGACGTCAAAACGCTTGAATTTAAAAATTCTGAAGCTATTTCTGAAACCCTCGTCGAACATTCTAGACTAGTTAATTATGAAAATTGGTCAGAGAATCGCCGAGATCAAGAGATTGGGTGCCTTCCAGGGCATTACGCCATGTAATTGCCGCCCACTCAAAATATCGTTTTCGCCCCAAGAACTTGTCGTGTCGGTTTTACTCAAATATTTTTCGTTTGTTTTCGAAACAAACTCGCTTTTCTCGTGCTTCTCGGCAGTAACCCTTTCGTTTTTGACCCGTAGGTTCAATCCTCAGACGTACACATTTTGACTTCCCAACCCCTTTAATTTTCCTATCTAATGCAACAAATTTGGGCGTTTGATTCGTTCACTTGCGCAAAGATCGGAAAAACGGGACTAATGGTGGTTAAATAATTTTCTGGTTGCCAGGCGGCAACCTTGCGAACCAAATAGGTTTCCGTGAGTCGGGGGTACAATCCTTTTAGTCTGTTCCGCCCAGTCGGATGGAGTCTTTGACCGTTCTATTGTGCTTTGTTAGTCAGCTGTATGCTCTAAAGTGTGCGCTCGATCAAAAGGCAGGAGATTACTACGGCGAGGGGTAACTAACTATATTCCTGCTGATTAAATTTAGGCGAAAATCGACGTGTCAGGGTGATACATGTTGGTTGTTCTACGATCCGATATTGGATCAATATATGCAGGATTGCTTGATTGGAATAGCACGAGAAACAGGATGCCGTCGATTGATTGTGGAGAATAAAGTCGACTCGTATCTTTGTTATTGCAAGTAAGCTTAGGGGTGGGCTTCGACTGAATACTTTGTAATGGCTTGATTAAAGGCATGAATAGTGGTTCAAAACGAGAGCGGAATGGACCTTTAGGCGTCATACTGTACAACACATCTATCCTAGAGAATAAATGCGCTTCTAAGTTTAGTCACTCGGATAACTGTAACGCCGAGTTCCCAACATTCCACCCGAACAACCAGACGGCGACCTGGGCAGCCGGCAGTTTTCCATACACCAACATGCTTCCGAAAACCATGACCTGTCGGACAGGCCCCATAGAGGTTCTTCGAATCGAAATTGAAAATTCTAGACATTTTAGGTGTCAGTTCCAATGAACACCGTGTCGACAATTGATTGGACAAACACCACGACTGGGGCCGGCACGGTCAAGGCGTTCGGCTGCTATATGAATGGTGATATTAAGATGGTAAAACAGCTTTGAAATGACTAAAATCCGCTCTTTAGCCTCGAGAAGGGAACATCACCATCTGGTTTGAGCCTGAATATTATCTGAAGATACGGACATCGAGACTGTACTCACTGGAACCCATGCTCTGGAACCAAGACCCGCCAGCGTTTGTTGAACGAAGCGGTGTTTAGATGACTATTTTAGCATCATCCCGGGCTCGCTTTTTGCTATCCAAGTCTACCCTACGATCCAGTCTCTTAAGAAATATTGCCGTGGGGTAAAAAGTGAGAGCCCCGCCGGGAATTTCGAATATAGGAAAAATGCACTATAAAATCGCTTGATGCCTTGTTGGTCGATGCGTTGACCTGTCAACGGCGGTCCTCTGGTATCGTGCGAGTGCTTGGTGAACTTTTATAATTAGAAAATCAGCCCCTGGATACTTGCAAAGGACAGGCCTGCATATTGATATTCGACCGCTCGGTAAAGCACTTTCAAAGACCTCATTCTTTTCTAGAACGGCCTTCACGAGAGTGGATGCTTTTGGGAGGATTGGACGACAGGAGAAGCAAGGCTTGGTGTGAGATGTGTCTTCTCGATCTAACCTTTTCCAGGTCGGTTACTACTCCACCATGGCGAATCAAGGCTTCTACATCTGCGCCGAGGATATGTGCAATGTTAATGAAACAGCTGCACAAGCTTCGATCGCCAATTGTCGCCCAAATTATCCGCCGTTTAGAGGGCAAAACGTGCAAAGTTGGGCTGATGTCACTGAAGGTACGGAAATACGGTAAGTGATAATTTGACCCTTGCTTTCAGATTTGTCAGCTGGCAACTATTCACTAAACTGCAGATCTTCTCCCGGAATTTTGACAGCATCGGAGGCGACGATAGGGGCGACGACGACAAAAATTTCTTCCACGCTACCATTCTCAATAGCTTTTTATTTTTTGTTACTGAGTTGCTACCGATAAAGACTCCAGACAGGGTCTTTTGTCCAGACAGGAAGGCCAATTAGAAAAGCTATGCCTTTTTAAAGCACGAGAGGCCTAACCTACACCACCAAAACAATCGTTAGCGAGCCGCACGCAGTTTAACCTGTACGTGGGTACGCCTGTTTCCACATCATCTAACCTTTGAAAACGAAAGCTGGTATGCGCGCGGTAATGCTGTTACCGAGCCCGGGCCCTTACTCTCGGCTGTCTCGGGCCTGCTTTAGAATTACCCAGATTCCACTCGAAAATATGCCACTGATATTGCCTTTTCTGTTCCTCATTCCTGGACGCGAAATGGTGCAATGTGTCCTGCATCATCAAGCGGAGGATTATTTTGACAGGCCGTAAGCCTTTGCGACGACTGCGAGAACTGCGATACCAAACGCCTAGTATCCGCGAGTTCAGGTTAACCAAATCCGAATGTACTGGCGATCTTTGCTGGCTCCTCTATGACCCCGTCTTGAAGCAACAATCCAGTCCCCCAGTCTCAGTCCCAGTCTCGTCCTCAGTCGTTCAGCGATCCCGAAGACTACTGCAATGCCAACGAAACTACAGCCATGGTTTCGGTAGAAAACTGCAGCCCAAATTATCCACCATTTAAAGGGCATGGCCAAGAAACGTGGGTCGATGTGGAACGGGGTAGGGAAAGTGTGTAAAGTCTATCGAAAAATTGTTTTAGCCCTGTCATCCGGAGAATATTCCTTGAATTGTAAAGGCAGAACAACGGCGGCGGTTACGCTCGGTCCACCTGATCTGGGAAATTCTACTCCTGTTCTATTCGCTTCGCGGCGTTCACCGGAAACAACGACTAAGCCTGGCACGACTGCGGGGCGTTCTTTTATTAATTTCCTGCTATGTATACTGGATAAAGTTCTGAGTGTTTGAGTAGCACTAGTCAATACAATATTATTATGGAAAGCTCAAGTTATCCCTACTCCACTCCCCTTCCTCGACACACAAAACGCGTTAAAACACGCGCCCTGATTGTTCAGACCACTAAAAACCCTTCTACTTGTCTACCGCCATAATTTCTATAAGGCCAACCCGGGTAAATTATTCGAAGAACAGATTTGGGCGTGGGCGGAAATTGTAAGCGCCCATAACAAGTCAGAGGTGGTGCTTTTGAGCCAGTAGCAATTGCCCCGGCTAATCAAATTCAAGCGGACCCTAGCAGGAGTTTGGTTGATGCCGGGGAGCAGCATATTTTTTGGTTTAAGATGCGATTTTCCAAAGTAGAAAAACTGCTATGGCTATGCTTGCTGGGCAATGTCAGCTCGGCCCTACATTGCATACAATATCACCGGAACGTTGACGATTTCGACGGCAAGTAAGGCTATTTTCTTTAGCTCACCTAACCGGAGCATGCATAAAATCTGCGTGATGGTGAGACGCTCTAGAGTAGTGCGTATCGTATAGTACTAATAAACTTCTTACAAGCACCCATAAAATTCCCGATTCCTTCAGAAGCAAAAAGAATACAACGTGCTCGGGAGATATGTGCTGGATCTATTATAACAACCATTCCTCCCAAATCTGGTCTCGCGACTGTATGACTGGATTCAAGTATGAGCCAGGTTGCCATCGCATACCATCATCTGAAGGAAAACAGCTTTACCTATGTTTTTGCAAGTTGGTTATACTGCCAGGCGAAATCACCCATCACTTAGCCATGCTGATTATTGCAACTCGGAACCACTGACATTTAACACGAAGAAGCAAACGGCGACCTTGGCCAGAAAAGCGTTGCAAAGCCGCGACCTCTCAACAAATGGATACACCTGTCTATGGGCGAGTCCCTTTCAGGTGTGCTCAAAAATGAAAAGAATGAAAGAAATGGAATGTTATAGGAGGTCAACACCACGATGGAGGATTGGGCTACAAATAGCTTTCCGTCTTGGAATATGGCTGAATTAAAATCGACAACTATCGAGCCGGACGCCACTGAAAGAGGCACCGGATTCCTTTGACACTACCGAAACTGTAAGGGTCTATATGTGCGACCCTTACACTGAGGTGAATAAAACCAAAACCCCCGATGTGGTGTTTGCAGCAAGCAAAAAAAATGCTGTGCGCAGCACAGGTACACTACATTATCCGTTACTAGGCCGACTTGGGCTTCGACCGTGGCGATGAGATTTCGAGCTGGACGAGATGATGTTACCCAGATGACCTACAACTTTCTATGGGCCGCCTCGCTCACGGAACTACCGTAATTTTCAATCTTAGTAGCAGATTTTCCTTCAGGTATTACTACGGAGGGCTCTATGGGTTTCAATATCACCCGGCGCGTCGTACGTTTAGTCTGCGTTGCCTGGGAGTAAGCGTATTTGCAAAATTCAGGAACAACCTAAGGACAAATGCGTCGATTTCTCGATTTCGTTGGCCTTAGCCAATGAAAAAGTTGTAAGCTGCGCGATGCAGGATGATCCGGGTATTTTTTCAATCATCGGTTACATCGCTTTTTTAGTGGTTGTAAACGAGGGCAACTGTAGCGGGCAAGCCTGCCTGTATGCCTACGATAAAGAAGTACGTCATAAACACTAGTTAAAACACACAAAAAACTTTTTTTTGACGAAGATGGTCAAGAAGGGCTGCTTCTTCCAAGATTGGACAACGGCCGAGGCCAGATTTGAGGTAGAAATTCTCAAAAATACAAGCTAATGTTTGAGCCCCACTTCAGCCTGGATATTACTCGACACTGGCCTCGAATCGCTTCTATTTGTGTGCTGAAGACATGTGCAATGTCGATGAACTAACGGCGAAGAATTCCATCGCCAATTGCACGCCAAATTATCCGCCGTTTCTCGGGGCCGTCAGGAGACATGGGATGATGTCAGGCAAGGTGTGAAATGCAAAAACGTAAACTTATTACCGCAAAAAGCAGTAGAAAACAGTTACAAAAAAGCGAACACTGTGCCCTCGTTCCAGCTCTAGCCAATGGAAGCTACTCCCTCACTTGCAAATCTGATGCCTCGACGTCAACTCTACTGCCAGAAGCCGAAGAACGCGACAGTGACGCCACCACTATCGCGCTGGCTGTAACAACAACCAATAATGCTCCTCGAAAACTGTTTATCCTACTCTTTTCTATGATAATGCCGAACAGTTTTTTGTGCTAATAAACGTATTTGGGGTATACGATCTCAAGTCAAAATACGCAACCGCAAGTCTAAGAAAAACAACTGAAAATTAGTTGCAAATCTCAGGTTATTTATTGGTATAATCGTTTTAAAAAAAAGGATAGTTTCCGGTTTCTCTATCCTAAAATTCCACATGGATACTATAGACGCGTCCTAAAACGACGTGCGTCGACCGACCGACCGTAACGGCAGGCCTTCTGCGAGAGCGCGCAGCATTTTGCCATTTTACGGTTTTTGGTTTTCTTTATTGCAGTTTTTTGCTTGGTATTTTCTTTTCGTTTCTTACAGATCTCTTTCAACCTTTTGGATTTTTGCTCGATCTTGCTCTTTCCTAAAACCCAGTCCGAAATTTGGGGGAAATTCACTTTATAGTAACTAAATAAAATGTGGACATTTCGACTGGGATGGATAGATTTTGAGTTCTTGCATTTTCATCTGCAAAAACCATTGCGACATGCTTCTAAGCAAAGTTATAATCATTTCACAGTGGTTCATACGGTCACCTCGAAAAAAATTGAATTTTTTCGATTTACAATTCCGCGATTTTACATTCCAATTCCGTAGGTGGGCCTGCTTCCATTTTAGAATGTTGTGTGTTGTGTCCTTGTATTTTCTATTGTGTCTTTTAGTTTGTGCTTCGCATAACT